TATGTTATGAAAGCACCAGCCTCTGCTCTTCCGGCTCCCTCGCTTCTACAGCTAGTGGGGGATCTTCACCCCCCTCGCTGTCAAGTTTTTAAAAAGTTGCCGTGCAGAGCTCCACCTGCCCAGCCATGTCACTCCTCTGAATGAGAAACTACAAGTCCCAACAGTCTTAGGCTGGCCATACATTATATAATTTTCTGTCAACTTTCTGCCCAATTTCCTTTAGATTTACCTTCAACTATGTAGTGCAAGAGCCTGCCTAATTGGATACAATTGAAAGTGTTGTTAGTTTTGACCTCCTATTATATTCTTTTTGGTAAATCTAAACCAAAAATCTCAAGAAAAAATTGTATAATGTATGGCCAGCCTAAGTGACTGTCAGCTTGCAGTTCTTAATGAACTACCATGATGCTGTGGAGCGCTGTGGTAGTTCATCGATTCTTCCTGTCAGTAATATCTGCTTGCCAATACATCCCGTATGGGCAAGCAGATGCACTGACAGACCTGCAGGAGATCTGCTTATCATTGGTGCAATGCTTTACAAGCTCCTGCAGCAAAAACTAATAACCGCACATTTTTTTTACCTGCCTTTAAATTGTATTTTTTTTTATAACCCAACACATCCACCTACTATAAAAAAATGTGTTTGGAATCAAATTTTAAATTAGATATATTTTTGCAGACAGGAACACAGCTGAAGACTAGATGAATACTGAGTGCAAATAGAAGTTATTTAATTTCAGTTGTAAAAGAATTTCTTACGTGCCAATACTGTCTCACTAAATACATTATCTACAGTAGTTGCTTTAAAATCAAAAACAAACATTTTTAGTAGCATTTTAATGCAGCGGGTCACTATACAGTGATAAACAGTGCAGAATAAACTGACAGTCCCAGATAACCTTGACCATATATAGATATGATCTATACTTCAGGTAGAAACCATGTTAAACTAGGCAAAAAAAAAAATGTTCAAGTGTCTCTTGTGATTTAAAATATCAAATATTATGTAGATTAGAAAAGTTTCAGAAAGTAAATGCAGAGGTAACGTTCATGAACCACATTTATGTACAACAACAGTTTTTCAGTCATGGCCAAAATACTGTTAAAGATAGAAAATGGGATTTTGGTACTTACCATAAAATCTTTCATTTAGAGTATTGAGGGACACAAAGTCAGCCTTCAGGTTATACAGGTACCTACAGGGGAATTGGATACTGGCAAAATAAAACAAGAGCCCACAGAGTATCTACCAGAAGTATTACCATGTTGGCATACCACATAAACCCTGGGTCAGCTCAGATCAAGGAAAACCATTAGCATACCCTCCATCTTGATCCTGTGCAGTTGTTTAAAGGAAGTAAAGCATGTATCAGGCTGTACTTAATAGGAGGGGGCAGAGAACAAAGATGATTTCTTACCAGGTGTCTGCAAAAATGAAGATGTTTGGAAAGTGGGGGCATCACTTCATGCCAAAGTGGACTTAAAGATTTGGGAGATTTAAAGGACCAACATTAGCAATTAAACAGGGCCATTGGCCTGGGGCTGACCTTGGAAGTTGAAACCTGAGTGTAACAAAAAATAAAAAAAAAACCCCACTTGGCCTTAGATGATTATTGTCTTTCTTATTTGTGGCTTAGGCTTCTTTCATGGGGCAAATAAATACTTATTCCCAGTAGAATCCTTTAGGAGGATGTCCAGAGAATCCCCAAAAAGACATTTAATCAAAAAGGCATGCTTAGGAAGCTTTTAAACAGCTGTTCTGTAGACCAACATTTTAACCAAGTTCTCCACTGTTCACCGATAGACTCATTCAGCTATTAAGCCAGACATGATCAAATAACCAATCTACGCAATAGTACAGAACTATAGGCATAAGTTCTAAGCACTCTACAAATACAGATCAGCAAAGATAGTTGTTTAGTCCAATGCTTTAAGGTTTGAAATACTGACATTCTCACTATGGTAGGCTGCATAGCAGGACATGCTAGTTAAAAACTTTAGAAAAGGGTTTCCAAACGATTGCGGATTGAATGCTAAAAGGCCAAGTCCATTTTTTGCAAAAAATAATTGCACATATATTTGCAGCAAAAAAAATGCACTTTTTTTGCAAATAAGCCTGCAAAGCACTGCAACCACAATCAACCGCTGGGCACCAACACCCTAAACAGAATACCATGGCCTTAACCCTCTAACTGAAAGGTCTGTATGCTGTACAGACCCTATTGCACTGCTTCCACCGGGGCTGATCACAGCTATTCACATAAAATAACACCCCGCCCCACACACCCCAATATGGCCACTGCCTTTCTACATCCCACCCGCTGCTTCCTTCCCTCCTGCAGACTCTAAAATGCCTGTGCTCCCCCCCCCCCCCCCCAACCTGCAGTCATCACCCTGGTACCACTTTGTACCAGGATACCAGTTATCTCGTAAAAGCAATTACAAGCAGCAGGAGGGGACATTCTCCGCCCCCCCCATGGCTCACAGGCTCTCCTGACACCCAAGCAATCAGCTGGTGCATCCACCAGCTGGTCGGAGTCCCGAACGAAGCTGGGGTTGGCTTTGATCGGGTCTCCACAGCGGTAATCTGGAAGCAATGACCTGACATCACTCTCGGTTTACCCAGATGTCATCAGCGCCATTTTTGAAAGCATTTAAACCACTGATCTTGTTGTTTTGTATGTTTCTGAGGGCAGAGGAATTTGAGTACCTCTTATGTGCCTATTGCTGTCACAAGGGATGTTTATATTCTTTGTGACAGCAATAAAAGTGATCAAAGAAAAAAATTTAAAGCAACGATGTAAAAATAAAATTAAAGTGCCTCCGTACTCCCATGCTAGCGCACAAAGGCAAACACGCACTTAAGATTACATTTTATTTAGTAAGAATTTTGTCAAATCTGCTGTGTTTTAGCTAATGATTTTAGTGTATTTTTAACGAAAATATTGTTTGATAAACATTTGCGCAAATATTGAGGGGCCTTAAAGATCAGTACTACCTTTTTATTCTACTGGTCCAGTGCTTTCAGAAAATATATGGTTTGGGGGGGTCTTTTATTTACTCTGGAAGTTGTAAGCGATCAAGGAAAACCTCCAGATTTTTTTAGAGAAATTCGGATATTTACTATTTACATTTTTGCATATGATTTTCACCCTTTTGCAAAAACGTGCAATTTAGAATGTACAAATATTTGTATTTCTTAAGTAAATACAAATTAAGATTTCATATGTAGAGTAGGATGCTTGTAAATATGCTGTGTTTATCTGGTAATGATTTCAGTGTATTTTCAGCTAAAATATTGCTTTGATAAACATTTGTGTATATATTGTGGGCCTTAAGCAGTAGCACCTTTTTATTCTACTGTTCCATGTGTTTTCAGAAAATGTATGGTTTGGTTGGGGGGGGGGGGGGGGGGTGTCTTCCACAAACTCTGAAAACTGAGGAAAAAATATAAAAGCAAGGGAAAAATTGCAACAATGGTCCGACCAACTGAGTTTAAAATTGGAGCACAGGGACTGGCAGTGAAAAGGTTAAAGTATAATTCCTGGCAAAACCTCCCTCTCCACTCCTAACACCTATTGTGAGTGCCTAACCTGTTTAAGAAAAATCTGTATATTTACCTATTTTCAAGCTGGTGTGGTCCGGTCACATGGCACAGTTCCCGAGTCACCCAGCAGCATGTCAGGGAAAAGTAGGGAGTGCTGACAATGGATGGGCCATATGAGCCTTTTGTATGTTTTTCACTGCTCCAAGGCATTACCAGCCATTATTGAGCACTGTCTTCTCTCCCCTGCAGCCAGTGCTGGCTGGCAGAGGGGAAATCATGTGACTGGACAAAGAGCGATCTAAAAAATAGATAAGCATACAAGTCTTTCTTACACAGGTTAAACCTAAAGTGGGGTTCCAGCCATTTTTGTGTATTGAAAGTCAGCACCTACAAAAACTGTAGCTGCTGACTTAATAAAACATACACTTACCTGTCCCGGGGTCCAGCGATGTTATCACCCGCACAGTCCCTTTTTCCTCTGTCCTCCACGGTGCCGGCATTTCTACTGTGGGCACCAGGCTGTGACAGCTTGCGGCTTCGCAGCCTGGTGCCCACTTGTGCATGCTCGAGTCGCACTGTGCCTCCTGATTGGTCTGGCAGTCTCCTGGGGCCTGTGAAAGTTCCCAGGAGACTGCGGGAGTAAGGAGGGGGAAGAACATCTGGCTCACTTTGCCGTGGCAAATAGGCGGAGCTTTCGCTTTTGAGTGGAACTCCGCTTTAATATTTGAGTTTTTTTTTTTTTAATGCGTTTGAAAAACACCCATCATATTATCTAGGGCCTCTGCTTTAAAAAAAATATAAAAGTTTGGGCATTCTAAGTAGTTTGTAGTTTCTAGCAAAAAATACTGATTTTTAAATGTAAACAAAGAATGTATAGTCTTAAGGAGCAACAACCAGTTTCACACAGTCAACATGCTGGCGCCGAAGACCCGTAGACTGTCGAGGAACCAACCAGGGCGAGGACAGCACTGGAACCCTGGACAGATAAGTGTATTTATTAAAAGTCAGCAGCTACAGTATTTTTTGTATAAAGTGAAAGTCCTCTTTAATGAATGAGAAAAAAAAAAAAAAAAAAAAAAAAAAAGGTTTGTACTTTCACAGCAGAGCTGAAGAAAAGACTTCCGCCTTCCTAGAAAACCAGAGTAAAACAAGCTTGCTGGTAGTGAGTGGGTTCTTCTGAGCTGCTCCTTTGCTAGTGCCAATTCCCCCTGTATGCAACAGTATAACCCAAAGGCTAAGAATGTCTCTCAATTGAAGAGAAATAAAAGTTAACCTAAGTGCAAACCCTTTGTACAATTAAAAACTCATTGCACGTGTCAAATCCAGAAAGAGACAAGGTCTTTAAATATAATAAAATGTGTCTTTTACTTTGTATAAGAAAAAAAAAAATCTTACAAAAATGTCAGATATATAAATATTTTAGGTACATTACAAGAAAAAAAAAAAAAATATATTATTTTACATTCCACTTTTGATCCCACTCAGAGCCAGATGAGGTCTCTTGATCCGACTGGCTGTAGGAACTGATGAAAAGGTTTTCCCCAGGGGTTTGGTTACGGTATACCATTGATCCCAGAAATGTTTGATGCGTTAACAGGTTGAAATGGGAAATGCCCAAAGACCTGCTATCATAGTCATTAAAATTACTGGAAGAATCCTCCACTGTGTTGCCATTATCACCCACGGTAGAGCCAGCTGTGGACACTGGAGTTACAGGTTGCATGAACTCTGGGTCAAAGATAGGAGTCTTTTTCGACTTCTCGGTTTGAGAATCATTTACAGCCTCTGACTTGTTCGTAGTACAGTCTATTTGAGGATCTTGGGTCACGTTTGTGCATACTTCAATCTGTGGCATCTCGTCCTCTGAATCTAAAGACATGTCTTCTTCCTCCTTCAGATCAGCTTCACTGACAGCTGCATTGCAAAGAGAAGCCAAGTATAACTATACAATTATACTCACTCCTGCAGCCTTTTCATATTCAACATGCACTGGAAAAAGTCATCTTCTATCACAGTGGTGCCGTGATCGTCCTTTTGGGGTAGAAGTTGGGATTTTTAGAAGACAGGGGGGGAGAAACAACATTAGTTCATTGGGAAATCCCAACTAGCATGCCAAAGGCTAGACATACCAGAATTTTACTTCTGGCAGTTACAAAAGGAAGCAGAAGGCAAGCTGAGAAGAAGTCTTTGCTCATTCAGTAGACCAAAGAACTAAACACACAGCTACAGGGATTGCCCAAAGTTACCGCAGTACAACCTTGCATTTGATGTTAAGTGAACATAAACCAACAGCCACATAGAATTTCCAATAGCAAGAGTGATCATATATGCAAATTAATTTTGTTAATACACGCTGGCAAATTAGTAGCGTTAGTCGACTTTCCTATTAAAGACCAATGAACCTAAAATGCAAGCTGAGCTGAAAATTATTGTATGATGTATTACAAATAAAAACCTGGGGCCACTATATGCATTACAGTGTAATGGAACAGATTCCAAGGTGTACATCGGTCTTGCATGTTTTTCTAAAACAAGCAGTTTTGTTTGTTCTGCAGGTTTGTGGATAAGACAGTGTCAGTATTGTTACATGATGCGGCTGTCAGTGAACAGTCAAGGAGCCTTCCAAAACATTTCTTAAAAGTGTCACAACAAAAAACGTGCACTTTGAGCGCTTTATTCTTACTGCACTATAACCGATCCCTGTTTAGCTGACAACCAGAAGATTTCTATAGGTGGACCTCCTCCTCTTGTAGCGGCTTCTCACAGCCACCACTAGAGGAGGCAAAAGAGAAAAATATATTGACTTGCATTGAGTAGTTTGTCTCTTACTTTCTGTTGCCTCTAGTGATGGCTGGAAGAAAATGATGTACAAAGTGGCAAAAAAAACTTAAACATTCTGCTGCCATGCTGCATGTTTAAAACTGGCAGCACCATCCAACCATCCATGTGAGCTAGAGGGGACCCTTTTAAGCAGTACATTTTCAACACTTGCAGAACTGTTATTGCAAATTCTATACCCATGAAAAATGCACAATTAATGTAGCAATGTCTGTGCAAGTGCTGCAGTTCTAAGCTTTACCTTTACATAAACTATGGAAAATTCTCAGTTCCAGGGCTATGGACAAATGTCACACATTTACATGTAAATGTTACAAAAAAACTCAATTACAGGGTAAGGCTAAACTGCAAAGTTCTGAGACTAAATCCAAATGATCTGTGCCATCTATAATGTATATGTGCGCATTGTTTGCAAGCTGCAGCATAACAATACTTTGGGATCCCTAGAAGGTGACTGCTTGTTAAGAAAATGGTACTCTAAGGATTTACTACTGTATCACACTGCACTGTGATGGCTAGATGTACTTATGAAGTGGAATAACAATTTTCTATTTCAAGAACAAGATTTTATTTCTACAAACAGTACATCCAAATCAAAGTCCCATCTCAATTTAAAGATTTTCAAATTGTTTAGTGTCCACACACATGAAATGCCATTTTGGTTGATGCATTTTGAAGCAGTTACAGTATTTGTTTTAATTTAATTAAGCAGCTTGCATTTTGGTCCCATTGTCTAGAAGGTTTTGTTCTTTTCACTTAAAACTGCTGACATTTATTAAATGAAACAAATTAAAGAAGAACTTTACTAAACAATACGAATCCATATTTTTTTGTGTCAATATTTAGCTCTTTAAATGCAACATATTAACAAATATGCCACAGGTTTTTAAGCTCAAAAGCTGCTAATATGCAATGTTTTCTCCCAAATCGGGAGTCAGCCAGAATGATTTGTCTGTGCCTACGATACTTGAATATAACTGGGCATCAGCAGATACCAGCCTATGTCTGAAGCAACAAGACTGACATGACGTAGAGGAAAAAAAAAAAAAAAAGTTTATGGGTGACCTAAAATTTTATTTGGCCTACTCTTGCTTAGGAAGGGTCTACACATTTCTTGTGGGGGACATTCAAACAAATTAGCAACACAATTAGCCTGAAATCAAGTTTAAAGCTAGTTTACACTCGCTTTGATTTTTCCCACATTAAAAATCTCCTAGCCACTTCAACATGCATTTTTGATGCGTTTTTGAGGCTTCTGTGATGATATTTTGAAGCTTTAAGCAAGCATGGCAAATGCCCATGTGTGGATTTTTATTTGTTTCAAAGGGGTTCAGTCAAACTTTGTTTTAAAGGGGCTCAGTAGTACCCCCAGGTCAGTAATACCCTCACTCAGCAGATCCCCAGCTGGTCAGTACCCTCATTCAGCAGATCCCTCACTGTAGTGCCCAAATCTGCTGATCACTGCTCAGTGGTAACCCCCCACACTCTACTGGCCTCTCTTTGCTTATTAGTAATCCCCAGCTCTGTTGATCCACTCTCTCAGGTCCCCCCTCACCTCCTGCTATATTGCTCCCATGCTCTAAGCAAAAAAAAAAATGGGCAAGGCAAATTCTGTTGTGATGCTACTTTAGAGTGGTCGAGGTAGTATTTATGAATCAAGCGGTTTCCTTATAGCAACTGGTCTCAATCTGTCTCATGCCTAGCTGTGTGACAGAATTTATGAACATTCCCTTTTTTTTTATTGAACATATACAGTTGTGTTCAAAATAATAGCAGTCAGACATCACTAACCTGATCAATCACTGTTTTTGCTCGAAATGATATTTCTACATGGCAAATAATTTACTAGCAGGTGTAGTAGAGTAATAGAAATCCAACAGACCCAACAGTCATGACATGCATGCTGCTGATTCTGTGTAATTGAATCACTAATTGAAAGGGGCATGTTCAAAATAATAGCAGTGTGGAGTTGTATTAGTGAGGTCATTCATTCTTTGAAAAACAGGTAGCAATTATTGTCATTATTGAAGGAAGGAAGGCAGCAAATGTTGTTCATGCTGGTTACAGTGAATTTCTCTCTGAAATTCTGAGGAAAATGGGTTGTTCCAGACATTGTTCAGAAGAACAGCGTACCTTGATTAAAAAGTTGATTGGATAGGGGAAAACATATAAAGAAGTGCAGAAAATGATAGGCTGCTCAGCTAAAATGATCGCAAATGCTTTAAAATGGCAACCAAAACCTGAAAGACGTGGAAGAAAGCAAAAAACTACCATTCGAATGGATCTAAGAATAGCCAAAATGGCAAGGACTCAGCCAACAATCAGCTCCAGGAAGATCAAAGAAGGTCTAAAGTTACCTGTGAGTACTGTTACAATTAGAAGACGCCTATGTGAAGCCAAGCTATCTGCAAGAAGCCCCCGCAAAGTCCCACTGTTGAAAAAAAGATGTGCTGAAGAGGTTACAATTTGCCAAAGAGCACATTGACTGGCCTAAAGAGAAATAGTGCAACATGATGTGGACTGATGAAAGTAAGATTGTTCTTTTTGGGTCTAGTGGCCGGAGACAGTTTGTCAGACGACCCCCAAACACTGAATTCAAGCCACAGTACACTGTGAAGACAGTGAAGCATGGTTGCGCAAGCATAATGATATGGGATATTTCTTATACTACGGTGTTGGGCCTATTTATCGCATACCAGGGATCATGGATCAGTTTGAATACATCAGAATACTTGAAGAGGTCATGCTGCCTTATGCTGAAGAGGAAATGCCCTTGAAATGGGTGTTCCAACAAGACAACGATCCCAAACACACCAGTAAACGTGCAACATCTTGGTTCCAGACCAACAAGATTGCCGTTATGGAGTGGCCAGCCCAATCCCCGAATCTTAATCCAATAGAAAACTTGCAGTTTCTGAGGCAAAACCAAGAAAGAGAAGAACTGTGGAATGTAGTCCAATCATCCTGGGCTGGAATACCTGTTCACAGGTGCCAGAAGTTGGTTGACTCCATGCAACACAGATGTACAGCAGTTCAGAAACAGTGCTTATACAACTAAATATTAATTGATTCAAAGGAAAGCAAAATCTTCAAATGTTTTTCAGTTTATATAGTGAAATTTTGAGTTTGTAAAGAAGAATACAAACACTGCTATTTTTTTGAACAGTCTAATATTCACTTTTCTTCAATTTTTTTTTTAGAGGAACAACACAAATTTGATATATTTTTTCTTCATGTTTTGATTTGGAATTGAATGTGTAGTGTTCCCAATGCATTTGTGTGTATGGAAATAAAAGCTATTAGGATTTTGAGCTTTATTCACTTTTTCAATACACTATTATTTTGAACACAACTGTATATATATGACTCAGACATTAGGACCAGAAAAAAAATGTCAAGTTTTCATAGGAATCACATTTCTAAAATTGTGCTGGGGTCATGTTGCCAGGTTAGATACCAATATTGGTTAGTGAAGTTCTTCTTTACATATCAGTATTAACATTTTAAATTTACAAATAACACATTTTAAATACCTTTCTGGTTCTCTTGATTTACTAACTGAGATAAACAATGCTCTTCATTGCTGGAGTTATGGTGACCAACAAGTTCTGTAAAATTATTAATGAACTCGTCCATGCTTGTCACTAGAATTCCATTTTCAGCATGACTGGAAAACAATGATTTATCCTTTTCTGCAACAGATATATGAAAATATAAATAAGGAACTGTTCTGCAGTTGTGAATAATGTGAATGGCAAGGAAGTTTGGGAAGATTTACCAGTCAGAAATATTAGATGCCTCTGCTGTATGTTCTGAACCTGAAGCCTGATCAAACAGTCCAGCTCAGGAGCTTGTCTGGTCTGAGAATCGCACATATGATAAGCAAGGATCTCCACCAGATGTTTCTTTTGATAGCTGTTCAACAGTGTCAATATATTCAATGCAGTTTTGTTTATCCTAGAAAAGTGAACATAAATGGAAGACATACATTTCCAGCCCATATATCAGTTCTTACTTCATAAAGCCTATATATGTAGGATATAGCTCTATCAGCTGCATTGATGGAATGCAGTATGGATTTAGGATGCATCCTACATTTAAAAGTCTGTCAAGACAGGTGCCATACATGGTAATTTTACTGCACACGAATCAATATTTCTCCTTTAGGCAGCTCTGTAGAAAACAAAGAAATATACCTAAACAATACAGAAATAGTGATTCTGGATACTGTTAAAGCTGTGCTCCAGTAAGAATACACAAACAAAATTTTGCACCCACAAAAAACCCACCAAACCCTGGCCAGGGAATCCCACCAGACCCTACCCTAACTAGTTTCTGCAGAAATGTATAAAAAAATAAATCTTAATGGTCCAAATACCTGCCTAAAACTAGAGTCTTATTTATGCAGCAAAGTGGCAAAGCTTCCATTTTGGGTGTCCATGTTGCTGCCTGGTGGTTGTCGATGCTTCCCCATTGGCTGTCCATCAGCAGGTTGCTAATGGGTCCTGAAAACTCCCTTGGCAGAGGGATGTCATGACAGGTAGGTCTTGAGAAGACCAGTCAATGGCAGGCCTAGACAGCAACTCTTAATCCCTGTTTTTCAGGGATTCAAGGAAGAGACTAGCAAAAATTTGCTTTAATTTCAACATCCAACAAGTTTAACTCCTATACAGTGCGTATAGAAAAGAATCACCCCCTTTAAAACAATCATATTTTGATGCTTTGCAGCATGAAATGAAGACAGATACAGTTTGTTTTATTCAGCTGTATTTACTCAGTGCAACATCCAAGTGAAAGATATAACACCAACATGTCAAAAAAAAAAAAAAAAAAAAAAAAAGGATCACCCCTTTGTGTCAGTATTTTGTTGAACCACCTTTTGCTTTAATTATAGCCTTTAGTATGTTAGGATTTGTATCTACTAACTCTACACATCTAAAATTTGCAAATTCTTTGCAGAACTCACAAGTTTAGTTAAATTTGATGGTGACTGTTTGAAGACTTCAGTCTTCAAGTCATTCCACAAATTCTCAATGGGGTTTAAGTCTGGGCTCTGACTAGGCCATGCAAGGACAACATTCACCCTTTTCTCCTTCAACCAACGTGTGGTAATTTTTGCTGTGTGCTCTGGATCATTGTCATATTAGAAGATAAACAACCTTCACATTAACAACTTTGTGGCAGAGCGCAGCAGATTTTCCTCAATTTGACGGTATATTACCTCACCAATTTTTCCTTCTACAAGTGCTCCAGTCCCTCCTACAGAGAAACCCCCCATAACAGGATATTACCACCTCCATGCGTTATTGTAGGAATGGTGTTATTTAGATGTGAGCTGTATTGGATTTTCAACTTAAGTGTTGAGGCCAAATAATTAAATTTTAGTCTCATCTGACCAGAACAGTTTTTTCCATGTGGCCTCAGAATCTTCAGGGTACACTTTGGCAAAGCTCAGTCGTGACTGAACATGACCTTCCTTGAGCAGCAGCTTTTTTTCTTGCAACCCTACCATACAAGTCACATTTGTGGAGAATTTGTGATGTTGTCACATGCACACAATGACCACTCATTGTTCATAAATTCCTGCAACTGCATCAGAGTTGCTGAAGGCCTCTGACCAGTTTTCTCCTGGCTCTTTCATCCAGGGAGGGTCTGTGCTGCACCTTCTAGGCATTGATAAAGCCTTTGACTTTGTATCTATCTCCTGTCTTGTGCCTGTCCAGAAAAGCTCTTTTCCTGTCAAAATGATCACAGTTGAAAGTCAAATGGCTTTGTGTGCCATTGAGAAGGTGATAAGTGGCACATGAGTTTATAATTCAGTTTTCGGAGGCAGGTGATCCTTTTTCCAACTCAGCGATTCTGTTTTTGCATGTTTTTTTTTTTACCCTGACATGTTAGTGTAATATCTTTCCCTTGGGTGTAAATACAGCTGGATAAAACAAACTTTGTGTCTTCATTTCAGGCTGAAGAGTAACATGTGATTTTAAGAAGGGGGGTAATTCTTTTCTTAACCCACTGTATGCAAAATGTGGTGGCTAACTGCACCCAACACAGTCTGTTATCTCACCACTCACCTTCCCAATTCCTTCAGTTTCTTCTGAAATTTGCAGTGGATTTTCCATTGCCATTTTCCATCAGGACTGTCAATTTGCTCCAGAAACACCAAAAATTTTTTCAGTACATCTATAAAAATAAAGATATAAAAGTTATAGGGCAACCACTCCAACAGAGCTCGAAAAGTGAAACGTAAGCTTCTTGTAGCTCACCAATTCTAGGAGACTGCAGGTATTGCAAATCAAAAATATACAGCTTACATCCACTGGAACCTTTTTAAAAGGAAACCAGTTGTGAGACTATGGAAGCTGCCATTGCATGCCAGTTACCTGGCTGCCAGACCAGTGTATGCAAGCATTCTTTACAACTGCCGCACCGGGGCAGTGTTGCCTCTGTTTGCCATCTAAACTAATCCTGGTCTGTTTGACCATATTTCTGCCTGTTGCCTGGACTGATACTTTGCTGACCCTATCTGCATATCCTGAACATTCCTGGGGGCAGCCATGTATCAGTAGGCTAGGCTTGCACTGTCACACTTGGAATGACAATTGCGCGGTCATTCAACACTGTACCCAAACAAAATGTTTATCATTTTTTGTTTAGACAGATGGAGCTTTCTTTTGCTGGTATTTAATCACCACTGGGTTTATTTTTTGCTAAACAAACTAAAACATTTTGAAAAAAGGAAAATAAAAGTTTCTTAATTTCTGTTATAGAATTTTGTAATTTTTCTCCCTCCCTAATTGTTCCAAAAAGGGTCATTTTGGGAGTAATTGTACTTTCCTAGCGTTTTAGGGCCTCAAGAAATGAGATAAGCAGTCATTACATCGGGACTGATCAATTTTCAAAACATAGATACCATAGTTTGTAGACCACATACCTTTCATGCAGAGTAAATATACGCGGAGTTGGGTTTTTTATCAAAAAAAGTAGCTGAATACATTTTGGCTTAATTTTATGAAGACAATTTACAAAATTTTAAAACTAAAAGCTTTTTTTCAAAATGTATGGTATTTTTTCATTTAAAAAAAAAAAAAAAAAAAAAAAAACACCCAGTGGTGAATAGAAAGAAAAGCTCTGTCTAATAAAAAATTATAATTTCATTTGAGTACAATGTTGCATGACTGTCATTCAAAATGTGACAGCCCAAATCTGAAAATTGGCGGTGGCGTGGGCAGGGAGGGAGTAAAAATGTCTGGTATTGTGGTGGTTACGTTCCCATGCTTATATCGACTAACCAGTTACATTAACATGGGAACAGCCCAGTCTTTATGCATAACATGTGGCCGGACAGTAGAGCCCAAAAATACTGCAATGAGATATGCATGAAGGAGCAGGTCTTCCAACATACCAGACAGTAGGGCTTTTTTTTTCGGGTCAGATTGTGTACAAAAAGGTAGAAACATTAAGTTTAACCCCTTCATGCCAACATCACACAAATATGAGGCCTCACAGAGCTGGTCTTTTTTCCATGGTGCCGCATGTTTGCGTATCTGTACCAGCACGAAGACAAGGGTGTCACTGAGAGCCCCAGGTCCCATTCTAACGATCGGGAACCAGGACTCTAGATTCTGGGTCACATGATCGCTGTGATTGAAGCCTGCCCACCCCCTTGGTTTTTTTAATTGGCATCAGTGTCGGTGTCGTAAAAAAAACAAAACAAAATGTGCACTGTTTCTGGGCTGTAGTACAGGTACAAATAACAACCATACACATACATGGTATTGCTTCGATAGTCAAGAGCTGGAAAATGTATTTTGGGTTGTTCTTTGTTGGTAGGTTATGGTAGTAAAAAGAAACAGCAAAAATTAAAAAAAAAAAAATTTATACTATTTTGGGCCAGTTTTCCTTTGATAATAAAAAAAAACAAAATTCAGGAGATATCCATTACCATTTACCACCAAATGAAAGCCCAATTTGTCCTGAAAAAAAAACGCGGTATAATTCACCTGGATGCACAAAGTAGTGATGATATGTACAGTTTAACAAACACATGTCAAAGTTGTAAAATATTACTTCGGCTTTAAGATTCGTTTTACCCTTAGGCGTGAATGGGTTAAATCAAAACTGCAAACTGGTTTACATGATTACAAAATGGTAGGAATATGCTTGCTCTCCTGTATAAATAGGTGATATATGTAATTACGAAAAACCCATGCTACAGCTTACCCTCAGTAATGTTATTGGGATTCAGCACTGTATCATCAGATACAATAAATCCTCCAGATACAAACAATTCGTTATATGTGTGGTTTTTTAAATCGTCCAAGCTGTCAACACCTGCAAAACTGACACACGACTGCTTCTTCAGTGTTATCAATGATGGGATCTGGTGGGAAAAATAAAAAGGCAGTTAACTAATGACAAAACGTAACCTTGGGTGCAATTAGCAATGTATTCCTACAACAAATGTTTTTTTTCATCCACAGCTAAAGCTACACTTTTAACATCTAAGAAAGAGCAATTTGTCTCTGGTGACCTGGTGCATTGGGGATGTTTCAATTTATTAAAGAGAAGTAACTTCGGCATTTTTTTTTCTTTAGGTTTATACTATTTTGAACTGCTTTGGATCTATTTTCCTGTATTGGCACAGCAGACACTGCACTGCTCTGAAGCTCACTTTAGCTGAAACCTTGGATACAATCATCCATTAATGCTTTCAATGACATGTACCATACATCTTGGCAATGAAAGGCTTAGAACATGCATGTTTTAATTAGCAGGCTCCCTGCTACAATGTACAAGTGCTCTGAAAGCATCTGTTAACTTCTAACATTACAGGTTTTGGAACAGACCAAGAGATCCTATTGCTGTACCTTGATGTCTCCATAAAGAGAACCTATCACCTCTCAAAACTATCATATAGTGGGGCTTACCAGATAATAGCTATAGTAATAAGGTGAGTTGAAGTGATATTAAAAGTTTTTTTAAACGTTATACTTGTCTGCTCTGTGCAATGGTTTTGCACAGAGCAGCCCTGATCCTCCTCCTCTGGTTCCTTTCTAGATCTATGATGTTTAAACTTTTTGTATGCCTACAATATTTACTGTACGTATTTCTGCATCATGACATCATCCTGCTGGGTTTTTTTTTTTTTTCAGTGAAAGGAGTTTTGGCAGCAGGAAGGGCCCAGGCCACTCTTGGGGGCTTTAAATAGTGTATCTTAAAGTGTCACTAAAGGTAAAAACTTTTTTTAATATAATCAACATGTTATACTCACCTGTTCTGTGCAATGGTTTTGCACAGAACAGCCACGAACTCTCTTATGGGGTTCCATGCAGGTGATCTTGGCTCTCTCTCATCAGTGTGTGCCCATAGCATGCTTGCTCCTGAGCCCCACTCTGTGTCCATAAGACAAAAGGGGCTTGACCCAACCCCTTCTAACTAGATGCGATTGACAGCAGCAGGAGCGAATGAGGAGGCAGAGAACCAAAAGAGCAGCTGCTCTCATGCACATTGATGGATCGCAATCAGGCAGGGGTAATTATGGGAGGGAAGCACTGCATGCTGTAGGTTTACCTTCAGCCTTTAGAACCACTTTAAAGTGGTTAAAAATGAGATTTTTGTTACTCACCGTAAAACCCCTTTCTCTGAGTTCATTGACTGACACAGCCTTTTTCTTGATCACAGGGTTTATATTGCCACCTACAGGAGTAGGACACTAGGCAGAAAAAGAAACGCGTCACTGCATATGGGCAATCCAGGCTGGTATAAATCCCCTCTCTGCTATAAGCAAACCAGTTCATAACAAGCAGTACCCATACCGACAAACAAATCAAGAGGAGCAGGTGCTGTGTCCATCAATGAACCCAGAGAAAATGATTTTATAGTAACAAAAATTCCTGTTTTCTCTTCTGTTCATTGACGGACACAGCCTCTTTTTCTTGACCAGAGGGACGTCCCAAAGCAGTGCCAAAAACAGAGGGGAGGGAAACAGGAGTCAAATAGCTGACATGCTCTCAAACAGGAAAAAAAATGAACACTCCTAAAAAAAAAAAGCCGAAAAAAATTTAAAAAACAGTCACTTGCAAATTGTACGATCAAAGAAAGTATTTGAAAATGCAAAAACATCCACCTTATAAAACTTAGTAAAAAGTATGCAGAGATGACCAGGTAGCTGCCTCACAAACCCGAGGCACTGATGCCAGATATTGTAACACTCAGGAGTCACCAAACACAAGGGTAGAATGTGCCATAACAGGGAAGGGAGGAATCCAACCCTTAATGTTATAAGCCTGAATCACCGTCTGCCTGATCTATCTATAAAATGGTGGAAGAGGAGGCCACCAAGCCCTTTCTCGGCTTGTCTGTGACCACAAAGAATCTGACCTCTGAAAAGCAGCAGCCAACAGACACACCAGAATCACCTGGACCACATCCAAAGACTGCAGTGAAATCTCTTTAGGATGCCAGGGCAGTGGGTATAGGGAAGACAGGTTGATGTCCTCCTTCAAATGAATATGCGTCGCCACCTTTGCAAGGAAAGAAGGACACAGGTGGAGAACCACTTTATCCTTGAGCAAGATTAAAAAAAAGGACACCTAAAAAGGACAAGGCCACCACCTTCGCCACTTGGTGCACGAAAGTGATAGCCACTACAAAGGTGACCTGAGAGAACAGAAGCAAGGGTATATCCCTAATGTTGTCAAATGGAGGGTTCTGAAAACCAAAAGCACCAAATTCAAATACCACAGTGGTAAAGTAGATTGAACCTGAGGAGCAACCTGTCGAACACCTTGAATAGAAGGCACTAATGGTCAGGGAATGCTAAAAAGAAAATCCCAAGTGCAGGAACCTGACCTTTAACAGTACTTAAGGCAAGCTATGTCTCCATTCCCCCACGAAGAATGGCCAAACTTCGCACCAAGATTGTGGATGTGCTCCATAAGGGAGTCAGGAAGAGATGCGTGCTCCTGAGCCTCCAGGTGCAAGCAACCCCCCCCCCAACCCAGGGACTGCCAGGGATAAACAGGCACTTAATCACAACTGGCTGACGCAGGTGGAGGGGGATCCCAGCAGGACTCGCAACCAGAGCAGAAAAAAGGCTGCCTGGTATGCAGAGCTGTGTGCCGTGCCATCACTCTAAGGAAAGCCACATGAACCACTCCAACCTTGTTTTGCACTATAGGAAGACACAACCCCCATGCACAGGTCTTTTAACTAGAGGGACGGAAAATGGCCACAAGGCTACAAAAATGTGACGATTGCCACAGGCAAGACTGTAGACAAGAAGGGCCCCCCCCCCCCCCAAAAATGGCGGATGAAGCAGGTCCCCCAAAAAATGGTTGCCCAATGGGCCCAGGCAATATGGCCACCAAAATACTCACTGGCTTTGCCACAATGGCTACTACAGCTTTGTACAAATGGCTACCCATCCAGCACATGGCAGCCCCACCAAAAACATAGGCGCACCATCCACCCTTCAACCAACTCCATGCACCAGGAGAGCAGTCCTAGAGTCCACCCAGGAATAGGTTGCAGTCCCGCTTGCCCAGGCCAGAGCAACCACAGCTGAAGGGAAGGAGGTGGGGGGAGGTTGGATTGGTCACAGGCAACCCAGGCCTGGAGGGTAGGAGGAGACCCTGTAGAGCCAACCACCCCCCTAGGAGTACATAAAAGCCTACCACAGTGCCCAAAGGGGGCATTCTACTTACTGGTCTAGAAGAGGTAGGGGGTATAAACACTCCTGAGACAGACCTCCCACCGGGGGGTTGTCAGCCAGGGACTGTGACACAGATGCCAGGTGATGGATCATGTGTGTTCCTGTGAGAAGTCTAACTCGCTGACAGCCCCAGTATTTTAGGGGGGTCTCATGTCAACCCCACGTGTAGTTACGGGTCTGCATGCACTTGTTGGTCAAGCTGGGATGATTACTGGTTCTAGACTATAAAGCTTGCCGCCTGGCCTGACTGAAGATCTTCACAGGATAAAAATAAAAAAAAATATGAAACCACAGGTGCCAGTAGGGAGATAGGTTCTCCTTACACTAGGCAGAAAGTGCCTAGTGTACTACTCCTGAAGGCAACACTATAACCTTATGGTCAAGACTAATGGCGAGCTGTGCCCTTCAATGAACACAAGAAAAACATGTGGATCTGTTTTTTGATACAGTGAATCACGTCCTGTGTGCTGGGGTTGGGGGGCAGTCACCATGAATTGCCTGGTTCAGAGAAAACTGTCAGAAGTGACATATGCAGATCACAAAGGAAGTGGAAAACACCCAAGATCAACACTAGGCACCATTAAAACAGGTAAACACTTAATGAGGATGAGTATGCTTTATTTTGTATTTCAAAAGTTAAGAACCATTTTAACTTTACTGAAATGTAACAAAATGACATTTCCTTCACCTCTATGCACTGTAGTGCAATGTGTTGTAACAAGTCGCAACATGTTGCTTAAAAATACAACCTGTCCTACTTTTCAACACATTTAAAGTGAAACAAGACATGAGGCAAACTGCCTGGTTTATGGGTTTGAACTTTGTTGGGCAACACAGCCAAACAGGGCTGGCGTGAACAAGCCATAAATGACGTTGCATGTACAAAAAGGGGACCTAAATATCATTGATCAACACTCACCTTATGAATACTGCTGGCAATATCTTCATTCTGGATGATTATAAGTAGCTTATCAGAGCTCTCACTGCAGTTTACAATCTGATCCGGACTGCACTGTACATTTCCAAGCTTTAACAAATAGTTCTGCAACAAAAGAGATTTAAACTGCAATTCAGTTACAACTGCAAAATTGTTTTATTTGTGCATATTTACATGCATACATATTCCTGTCTGAATTGCACAAATTTGTAGACCAGTTTTAGCAAGAACCAATTTAATTTGTGCTGCAGAAACCTTAGCCAAGATTCAAATATAAGTCCTGTTATTGTAGAATGTGTTGCTATGTCAGGATGTCTACCTCTGGTGGTGGTAAACAGCAGTTTAAAATGGCAGAAAAAAGAAAGGGCATTTGAGACTTCACTGGAACCCAGCTATGAGCAGCATCGTATGATAGAGTATGGGCTCTATAACGACTCTTGCTACTATTATCCAAACTGAGGAAAAGTGAAGCAACTGAAATTTGCAATGAGCAGTTGGTTTATTCGCCTGTTAGGGCAATGCGAAGCTCAGAAAGATCACATGCCATGGCTGATGCTACTGGTGCACAGCTTTGCTGAGCCCTGGAGCCAACAGTGTTAGAAGATCAGCCAGATACATTTGTGGTTTTAAATATTTAGACAAGTTTTATTTTTCCTATATGCAAAAGGCAACAATGTGTACTTTATGCAGTGCATTGGTTACGTGGTCCTAGCTGAACTGGCTTGGGGGACTGATTATCAAGAAAGCCAACAAATGCTCTCTGTCTAAACAGGAAACTTTCCTTTTTAGAAACTGACATGTACTCGATGCTGGTCTCTTACTGCTACAAGAGGGATAAAGAAGTAAATGAAAACAGTTGACCTAATATACGTTCATGCTTTAACAGTCCTCAGGCTATTTTCATTAACTACTACTACAAGCAATCCCCATGTCCCTCAGCATGATGCCCCAACTGAGGAATATTCCTTTTGAGACCAAGCAGGTGACATTAACACAGCTGACATGTAAAAACTAAACCATCACATACAGCTCCGGTCCTTGCTAATGACCAGGAACCAATCAGGTTAGCAGCACTGCTTTCTGAAGATTACTTTAGTGCTCTAATTGTTCAATCTTCAATTACAGTTTATTGTTACATTTTTGCACACGTCAGCCTAGAATGAAGCAGAGGTCTTTTTTTTTTAAGCTGTACACCACATAAAAGTCCTATATGTCATTAAAATAATTACACAATGGGTCCACCAAAACGTACACCAGTTAATGCACAGGTGACATAGCTAAAAGAAAATGCTACAGTTGGACCTGAAATAAAAGGTGGAAGCACCTCAAAAGCACTAAGGCCAGCCACAATAAAGGGCTGTGATGCATACATTATATATTTGTAATGGATTATGTTAAATGGGATTTTTCAACTTCTTGTAAAATCCATTTCTTGCTGTTCTTTGAGGGGCAGGAAGTTGGCAACTGGGGTTAAAAGACATATGGGTTACATTTTTTTTTTTTGCATAATCTGAATCCCGGTGAGCTACTACTATGAAAAATGATTTGCTGCCCTCTGAAATGTACACCCTTTCTTCTGAAATCAAAGAAAATACCTGTGGAAGGGGCTGAGGTCTCTCATGCAGCGTCATCCTGACACTGAAGTCGGTATCCAGCACCCTCTTATGACTGACATTGGCTCCTGACAGTATGCAAACTCCAGAGAGGTCAGCTGAGCTTCAGCTCTTCTCACTCCCGCCTTCTCCTGTCCAGGCTGTTGAGTTTCTTGACACACAGGCAGCTTCTCCCCCCCCCCCCCCCCCCCCATCAAGGTTGTTCGTATCACTTAGAGATGCAGCTGCTTTCTCCCTCCTCCTTCCCCCTCCCATCATCCAAGCTCAGCCTCACTTCCAAACTTTATCAGTACTCTGCAGAGTGAAGCAGAGAAGAAGCCGAAGAACATTTATAAATTCTTTTCTCGTAGAGTACAGTCTCCTGGACTTGGAAATCCTTCAGCATACTGTCATGTGCCTCTGTTTCTTGCCGACAGTGTGCAGTTATGGAAACAGAGGCACGACAGGCAGGCACATTCCAGCTTGTCTGAGGAAAGCATGGTCACAGCTGAGAGCTGGGGGAGAGGATGAGGGGAGGCGGCTCACTCCATATGTAACCACCCACTCCAAACTTTCAAACCTGAAGAGGACCATTACTCAGCCCTAACCAGGACTTTAAATGGGGATAGAGCAAACAATGGAGCAACATAGGACAGAAAGAAAAAGCTGTTCTGTGGTAAGGGTAGTTAATGCTATTTGTACTATCCCATACTTCTTTAACTTTTGCTTGCAGGAGGAATTTGGTCACTAGCAAAAAAAAAGTGACCTGCCTGCAATAACCCCTCGCACTCCCAGCATGCCTCAGTTTGGGAAAAAGCAGTATCAAGCAGTAGTAGAATTATCACTAACACAGAAGGGTGGGGTCTGTGTGCCTCATCTGCAGCTCAAAGAGTTGCCTGAAAGACCTCACGCCCTAAAACCAATGTATCTTTCATAAATTTATTTCAATTTATTGAAAGTGAAAGACCTCACACCGTAAGCTGGCATCAGAAGAGACCTGAACATCAGCCTGGTAGAACATGCGAACAAAACAGCAGGTGGCAGCATCGCACACCTAGGAAACAGTTGTCTTGGTTCTGAAAAGTCCAGATCTAGCAGTGTGCACCTTAACAGGAAAAGGAGAACCGATCCTTTATGCCATAACCCTTGAAGGTTTGCCTAAGCCACCAAGAAACGGTAGAAGGAACAGATTCAACTTTATATAGGACCTTCAAGAACAGAGTCCTACTTGACTTGGGTATAATGGCAGGGCACAAACTACATTCAGGCAATGGAGAGAGACCTCTGATGAAGTGAGGCCAGGCATAAGAAAGATGTCCTGGATGAGGTGCAAGGCTAAAACTACCTTAGGAAGGAAGAAAGTTCTGGGCTTCAGTTCCACCTTATCCCTGTGCAAGACCAGAAAGGGTTCTTTAACCACTTGACAACTGGGCTATAACCGAATGACGGCAATAGCGCGGTTGTCAAGTTCTGGGAGGGCATCATATGACATCCTCCCAGAACACGCAATGCCGCGCACCCCCCCAGCGAATTCCATGATCTGTGTCCTACAGACACCGCTGATCACATGATGTGGTAAAAGACCAATCACAGAGGCCTTTTACCACGTGATAAGCTGTGTCCAATGACACAGCAGATCACCGGTTGTCAGCTGCACTTTCCTAACACTGTCACAGCGTGAGGAAACTACCACCAATAATCGGCAATTGTCCAAAAACAGATCAGCACTGATCTGATCGGCACGGATTGCCCAGCATTGTCATGCCCATCAGTGCTGCCCATCAGTGCAGCCTCATCAATGTACATCAGTGAAGGAGAAAACTTACCTGTTTGCAAAATTTTAAAATAGAAACAAAGAAAAACTTTTTCTGCTCTTTTTTTGTTTATAATTTAAAATTTCATATGGGTACAGTGTTGCATGACCGCACAATTATCATTCAAACTGCAACAGTGCTGAAAGCTGAAAACTGGCCTGGGCAGGAAGGGGGTATAAGTGCCCAGTAGGCAAGTGGTTAATACAGACACTAGGTAAGACACTCTCCTCAGAAGTGATGGCCAGATGGAACACGACCTTGTAAGTGGAAAATCCCTGGTGGGTTCCAAGAGCGGTTTCTGAAGTGCAGGGTGGAAAAAAAAAATGTTCTGATCCCATGGAGCCACTGGAAATTGCACAGTGGAAGCCACAAAACACCATAAACAAAGGTCTTAAAGTGTATAAATCTACTAGTCTCTGCAACAAGATCATAAGTGTCCAAGATATGACCCTTGATGGTACACAAACTGCTGTTCCATTTACAGAAAGGCCAGGATTAGACACAAGGAAAATTTCCTGGGGTAAAGCCCTCATAGGAAAGCTCCAAGAAAGGGGCCATTCTCAATTAAGCTGAGGAAGACTGAGGATGCCAGACTCAAGCAGAAGACAAAATTTCAGGCTGTCCATGTCAGGCTCTTTAGGGGGTATACTGCAGGCAGCAGTGGAAACATTCAAGAATTGAGGGCTGGAGGAAGCTGGGGCAGTGGTACTGTTCACTGTGCTAGCATGTTGCACTACATGTCAAGTTAACAACATAGCTCTGGATGCAAAGCCAAGCAAAATGGTTTGCTGGTAATGAAAGGGATAGAGGTGGGGAAGGTAACCTGATCACTGAGGGCAGGTAGCAAAGATGGGAAAGTTTGACATGTCACTTTCAACAGCAAGAAGTTGCTTCTTTTACGTAGAACGAAGGGGAAAGAAAAAAAAAAAATGAATGTGTAACGCTCCAACCAGCAGTCATCAGGGCTCAGTCACCTAGCATTAGTCATTTCTGCAGTGAACCAATGGACATGGGAATAGTAAATGCTGCCCAATGACCCTAGCAACAATGAGCTCTCTGAACTTAGCCCACACAATCTACTAAAAAATGAAGTTTTCAACTGCATCAATTCTGGGGCTTTGCCACAGCTCTGGACCTAGAAAGAGCTAAACAGATAAATGAGTACACTCAGGTCTGGAAAGCCCAAAACACTGTTTGAAAGTCACAATCCATGCTAGACCATGCTGGACCACCAGTCCAGTCCAGCAAGGTCCTGGTACGACCTTCAAAGCTAGCTTCTGATCCAGAAAAATGCACATAGAGACCAGCTCAGCAGCTTGTAGAGGAATCCTAATTGAAATGATGAAAATATATTTAGGAAAACAAAAAGCTAAGATTCCTCAAGAGTGGAAAAAGGTCCTTGTACAACACTAGCAAAAGAACTAAGGCATGCTGGGAGTACAAGGGGTTATAACAGGTTATGTTTTTTTTTCCCACTGTTCAAATCCTCCTGCAAGTAGCAGGATAACCCAACAGGCGGATTTCTTGTGTTCTATTAAAAAAAAAAAGAAAAAAAAAAAAAAAAAGTGTATATAAATAGGTAAATGTTTACCACATCACTTTACCTTTATTTCCTGGCATACTGAATTTTCCTCTTGTTCTGTGTGAATATAGAATTTAACAATATTCTTGTTGACATGGGTGAAAATCTTCACCAGGTTGCTGAATACCTCTGGATTCATTTGATTTATTAGATGGGCTAGTGCTGTGCTTGAGGCAGTAATGTCTGGCGTAGTAGGTGTCATTTTCTCCTGATTCTGTATCTCAGCATCCTGGGAGCTATGAGGCACCAGCTCTGACAAAGGAACAGGATTTTCATCCAGCGTAACCTCCTGTTCACTGCTCTGACGCTTCCCTTCCACAGAGCCATTAAGAATTAATTCAGAACTTTGTAAAGGTTCCAATATGTGACCAGTGTCTTTCGAATGATGTGCGTGATCATTTAAACTGTTTTTCTGTTGACCATGATGCAAGGAATCAATGGATTCCTTCACTTCAGTCCCTATATTGACAGGCATGCCTGTCTCTGGACAGCTTAAATAGGAATTTACCACACTGTCAAGTTTAACACGTAGTTCATCTATATACTGTTGTACAGGTATACCAGAGGTGTGTGCATACAGCCAGTCAGAAAGTCTGACATTTCTTTCTTCTGAGGACAGAACAGGTGCAGCGACAGCAGTATATGAAATGTCCTTTTCACGCAACACTTCCTGCAGACGCTCAGAGAAACTGCTGTAGATTTCCTGCACAGTCTTCTCAATCACTCCGTTCTGGCAATGCTTTGTTTTAAGAAAGCAATGCCCTTTCCTGGTGGTGTGATCACTGTAAGCTGCTCTTTCATTCTGAGAAGACCGTCTCCTTCCTTTTTGGTACTCAGCAAGTGGGGAGTAACCACATTCTTTCCTCTTGGTGTTATGCACTCGTGGATCATCTGGAAAACTATCCCTCAAAGGTGAGTATACCGATTGTTCTTCTGTCAGACTTAGGCCTGATGCAGAAAACAGGGAAGTTAGAAAGAAAAAAATTAAATATACTGTTCAGTCATCCCAGTTTTCACTGTACATGCAATATATACTTAAATCCCCATCCCTCACAAATCCCTAACTTTAGGATGGGTGTTTGGTGACTACAATCATTCTGTGGCTCGGCCATAGGCAAAAGTTCATTACATTTTTGGTACAGAGTGAACCTGCGCCCTTTAAAACAATCTAATCTACATCTTTATCTATACACATTGCACAGAAACTCATTTTCAAAACTTTAGGAAACAGGCATTACAATTTTAGAAAGCTGGCAGGCCACAAAGATCAACCAGGTGTTCCTAAGCTGTTGGAAACCAATTGAAGTCCAGCTTAAAGTGGTAGTAAACTTTTTTTTGGACTTGTACCTACAGGTAAGCCTATAATAAGACTTACCTGTAGGTACAGTGAATACCTCCTAAACTTGCAGTGTTTAGGAGATATTCACACCGCATGCAGCCAGTGACTTAACCGTCACATGCACTCAAGGAATGGCATACCCATGCCATTCCTTCAGAGCTGTGTGCTGTGTCAGTGACTTCCGCATATGTACGCAGGAGTGACATTGCGGATCAGCCAGTCAGGCAGCCGGAGTACGCAAACCCAGAAAGAAGGCCGGCTGAAGATGGAAGCCCTGTCAGCAGTGACAGTGCGTCATTCAAAAGTATTTTATGAAGCGATGCATACTAGCATATTATGCTTTTACCTTGCAGGTTTTTTGCCCAATTTTACTACCACTTTAAGAGTCTTGTTCGAGGATCCTTGAAAATTACTTCACATTAAATGTAGCTAGAGAGACAGGGGATAACAGGTTTTACTTTTTGTTAATATGTGAATTTAAAGAAAGCATCATCTGTTCTAACCTTTTACTTTTAAATTCCAGCTTTCTTGTGCCTCTTCATGTAGCAATAAAACACAAATATAAAAAACTTTTTGGGCCTCATAAAATCCTTTAACTTCCATTCCACTGAAAGATAGGAGGTTTTCACCTTAGAATCATACTGTTGCCTACAGGAGCATTGACACTTTCAAACAAAAATGTAGACCAGCTCAGGATAACCCCTCAAATACCAGCATGTCTCAGCATTGTATCAAGTGTCACCAAAAGCATGACTGAAAACACAAGTGATGGGACCATCAATTGTTAAAGTCTTCACCTTTGGGATTTCAAAAAGCGGTCAAACTACAAGGTGGACAATGGCAAACCACCACCAATAGGCGCAATGTGAACAAAATAAAACTAGGGACTGCTTGCAGATTCAGAACCACCTGAAGGACCAACACCAGATACTGGATTTCAAATGGGACCACAACCCCCCTCTGGTTAAGAACATGAAAAGAAGACCCAGTGGTAACTCAGCGTGTGTAAACAATGCCTGATGCCAAAAGAAAACATGCATAATTAGTAAGAAATGTGATAGAGAGGGAGGAGAAATACAGGGGCAAGGTATAAGGCAAGGTCTCTATTAGGCAAAAAACACAGAAAGCCAGTGACTAAAGTAGGCAGTCTGCAGGAATGAACCGGAGATCAGCATTTAACATGGCTCATTGCAATGCAGGCGCATGGAGATGCTTCCTCGATGCTGAAAGGTGGGAAAAAAGTATGACATGCACAACATTCCAACCAGCAGATGACAGCAGCTCTCCCTTAGCACTAACCCTCCCATGATAGAACCAACAAAAAATGGGTGCCTCAAAAGGCACCCAGCAATCCAAATAAAGAGTTAACTCCCAGGGCTCAGCCGATCAGCCTGTTCAATAAGTTTTCAGATACAGGGCAAGCACTGAGGTATTAAAAATGGATTTGAACCTGCAAAGCAGCTTGCATTCAACCTATTACCAGAACAGGATCTGGAAAAAGCCTTATGGAGAACCCAGTGCCAGAGCGTCAGTTCCAAACTAGTTCCACAAAATCTCAAATAGGGACTGGTCACAGCACTACAAAAAAGCCAGAGGATAGGCTGTGCTGAACAGTTGCAACTGTTGAGATTCGCTGTAGAAACAATGTAGGGAGAAATCTTGATGAAAGAAAAATTATGAAAAAATGGGAGAAAAATCAGCAAACATTGGGCTTTTGACTTGATTGTAAATTCCCTAACTTGGAGTACAGGAAAGGACAAAAGACTAGTATTCAAAGAATATGGGTTAATGCTGCTACCTCGGGTGATTGGACACTGGCAAAAACATTTGCTAGAACCACCCCTATGGCATTCCTATATAACCACACCCACTTTATGGCTTCAGTGTATTTACTTTTTTCTTTTTTTTTAAGCAAGCAATAAGGAGTGATCAAGACAGGGTAGGGACTTGTGTCATGTGTGGTACTCCAAGATGATCAATTTACAGGCAAGTCAAAATTCATATCTTAGCCACTTGCCTAGCGGGCACTTTTACCCCCTTCCTGCCCAGGCCCTTTTTCAGCTTTCAGTGCTGTTGCACTTTGAATGGCAATTGCGCAGTCATGCAACATTGTATTCATATATAGTTTTTATCATTTCTTTAACACAAATATAGCTGGTAGAGGTGGTATTTAATCACCACTGGTGTTTTTATTTTTTGCACTATAAACAAAAAAAAAAAAAGCAAAAAATTTGTGTCTTTGTTTCTATTATAAAATTTAGCAAACAGGTAGTTTTTCTCCTTCACTGATGTGCGTTGATGCGGCTGCACTGATAGGCAGCACTGATTATCAGTGCGGGTGTCCTGACATTTGCTGGTTATCGGCAGTACTTTCCTCACGCTGTGACAGTGTGAGGAAAGTGCTGCCGATAACTGGCAACTGTATTTACTTTGTGATCTGCTGTGTCATTGGACACAGCTGATCATGTGGTAAAAGGCCGCTGTGATTGGCCTTTTACCATGTCATGTGATCAGCTGTGTCCACAGGACACTGCGGGCACATTCTGGGAGGACGTCATATGACAGTCATTCGGCTATAGCTCAGTTGTAAATGGTTAAAAGTATAGCTAAAGCAATTGCTTCTGCACACCTGCGACCCGTTTTCAACCAACAGCAGGCTTTACATCACTGAGCCAACCATATGGTCGAGATCCACCCAGAACCTTGGACCGGCACCTGGCTCAGCCTTTCAGTGATTCGCTGAGAAGCTGAGCCAGCCCCTTCCACCCCCTTCACAGCCCAGTGCTCCAGTAAGCGCTGAGGAGGAGCACAGCAGAGAGCCGGAAGCTAACAATCACAGCTCTCTGCTCAGAGCAGAGGGGGAGAATTGAGTGATCGCGGTCTTTGATCGCTCAGTTCTCTGTGCAGAGCTGGCAGGGGACAGAAGCAGTATCGGATCTATGCTGCATTCACCTAGGTGAATGTTTTTTTCAATACTTCATACTTCTCCTTTAATTGTACAGTAGGGGACTTGCATTTATATAGCATGGAAAGTACCAAAGAAAAAATAAGTGAAGGGTGGATAATATAGCAACAAACTCTGCCAACAGACCCACATCAGCAGGGTTTGAGTTAAAAAAAAATACTAAGATAACAGCTTGAAAGCACCTTGCAGCCAAAGCTCATATAAACTGAGGCCTAAACTTCCATCTAGTACATTGGCAAAGTAAAACAGAGAACCAGGAGGGGGAGCGTAAAAATCTGGGATACAGATACTTGATACTGAAAAGCTCAGGAGACATCAACAGCCCTGGTGAAATGGGCTCTGAATGGAAAGAGGAGAACCCTTTCCTTAGGGATGCAGGCTTCAAAAATGAGTGGTCTGATTCACCTGAAGATGGTGGAGCAGGAAGCAGCACCGTGTGCTCTAAAGATCACCTCCAAATAAACCAAAAATGGGAACTAGGTCTTGCAAAAACGAGGCCGTGGCAGCCAAGTAAATTCCATCAGTCCTAACCACATCCAAACATTGTAAGGCAATATCCTTGTCATGTGTTGGAGGAGGAGAGAGGGAAGGGAGGACAGTGTCCTCATTGAAGTGGAAAGAAGAGGTAATCTTAGATTAAGAAGGTTTTAGTCTCAAAACCACCTTGTCTGTGCAAAAGAAGAAAAGATTCTTTACAAGATAGAGCTGTTAATTATTAAACACGCTTAAGACAAGATAGCAACACAATGTTAAAACTGAGGTTTTACAAAAGAACGTCTCTAATAGGTTTAAAGGAGGAGAGGGTCTCTGAAAAGGAGAGGGTCTCTGAAAAGCAGAGAGAACCAGGCTGGGATCCCAAAAGGTGGGGCTGGGGGAATGAGTAACTATTGAAAATTTCTGATAAGGGATTGCGAGGCAAGGGGTTTCCTGGAAAAAGTATGGAGAAGGCAGAAACCGGTTCCCTGAGGTCATTCTAGATGCTGGTCGAGACCAGACTGAAGAAAGGCCAAAATACAAGTGGAAAAAGAGTACTAGTTACACCTTCTATTCTTAAACCAGGCAAGCCTTTTGTGGGCAATGGTAAATATTGAGGAATTACATTTTCTTGCTCTGAGGAAGATGGGGATAGCCAAATCTGATATCCCTAACTTTTAATATTTGTGCTTCAACTAATGGTGCACTGAAATGAGAATTCTGGTGCCGAAACCGAAAATTAAGGATGCACTTGGCCAAAAACCGAAATGGGCAGTTTTTAAAAATTAAATATATATTTTTGGAAAAAAAAAAATACACTTTAACCTCCCGCCCGCCATATAAGGTAATAACGGGCACAAGGTGGTTCTCTCTCGTTCTGGGAGGACATCATATGACGTCCTGGGACACAGCGGATCACCGATCGACGGAAAGAGCAGATGTTGTCGGCTCTGTCATGTGATCAGCTGTGTCCAATCACAGCTGATCACATGTAAATATGGAAATGCCGTTATCGGCATTCCTCTCCTCACAAGCTGTCACGCTGACAGCTCGTGAGAGGAGAGCCGGTAATCAGCATTCCACAGAGGGGACATGTGCACTGATGATCAGTGTAGCTCCATCAATGCCGCCCGTCCGTGCCGCCTATCAGTGCCATATAGGAGTGCTGCCTTTCAGTGCCCATCAGTGATGCCTGTCAATGCCCATCAGTGCCACCTACTAGTGCCTCCTCATCAGTGCAGCCTATCAGTGCCCATCACTGCAGCCTCATTAGCACACATCAGTGAAGGAGAAAAATCACTTTACAAAATTTTATAACAGAAACTAAGAAAATACTTTTTTCAAAATGTTCAGTTTTTGGTTTGTTTAGCAATAAAAACAACCCAGAGGTGATTTAAAACCACCAAAAGAAAGCTCTGTCTCAAAAAAAAAATGAAAAAAAAATTTCATATGGGTGCAGTGCTGCATGACTGTGCAATTGTCATTCAAGGTGCGACAGAACTGAAAGCTGAAAATTGGCCTGGGCAGGAAGGGGGTATAAGTTCCCTGTAGGCAAGTGGTTAATGATTAAAAAAAAAAACCACTACACCCCAATTGTTTTGTAAAATATGAAAGATGTTATGGCGAGTAAATAGATACCCAACATGTCATGCTTTAAAATTGCGCACACTCATGGAATGGTGTCAAACTATGGTACTCAAAAACCTCCATGGGTGACGCTTTAAAAACTTCTACAGGTTAGCAGTACAAAGTTAGAGGAGTTCTAGTGCTAGAATTATTGCTCTTGCTCTGACGTTCATGGAGATACCTCTCACGTGTGGTTTGAACACAGTTTACATATGTGTATGTGGTGGCCTATGTATGTGTTCACCACTACACCACGGCGGCACTTTAAACTTTTTTTTTAAATGTTTTTTTTTTTTTTTACACTGTCCCTTTAAAAAAAAAAATGTAATCACTTTTATTCCTATCACAAGGAATGCATGCATTCTTTGCGATAGACATAATTAGTGACAGATCCTCTTTATGGAGAGATCTCTCCTATGTAAAGCATTAGATCAAAAAAAAAAAAAAAAAGGCCTTGTTTACAAGGCGGCGGTACCGGAAGTGACATCGGTCTTGTCCACAACTTTGTTTAACTTGCAAGCCAGGATGTCCAAATTTGTTTTCTCCACCTTTGGCAGAGATTCTGTAAGATTTCCAGGTGCTGAGGCCACTCCACTGGGTCTAGGCATTGAAACCTACGAGAGTATGAGACCTATGTCTTTCAGGGCCGCTAGGCTCCTGGTGCCCCCTTGATGTAGATCCCTGCTATGGCACTGACCATCATCTGTACTGGGTGACTTTGCAGAAGGGAGATCCAGTGTTGTAGAGACAATCTGATGGATTTCAGTTTCAGAATAATGATGGGAAGTTTTAGCTACTGTGGGGACCAGGTCCCCTGGACAGTTAGGGAGTTGTAACTCCAGCCCAGCCTGTAAGACTCACACCTGCTGCAAGTCTTGTGAAGGAAAGACTTTCCCAATTCTGGAGCAGGATTGAAGATGCACCATGCCAGGGAGATTTTGGCTTGACTGGGCAGAAGCATTGAGAAATCCTAGGTTTGGATCTGCTTGTTCCACATTTTGAGGAGGTTGGACTGAAGAGGTCTAGAGTGAAGTTTAACAAAGGGAACTGCCCATAGGAGGCTACCATGAAGCCCAGAACCCTCATGCAAAAGCAAATTGAGGGTCTGAAAACTAAACACACGGGAGAAAGATTGTGGCTTGGGCTGTATCCTAAGATTTGTACCAGGCACTTCACTCTGAGGTCTGGAGGGCAGACTGTTATTATTAGTTGATTATTCAGGCAAAGGTTTGAAGAACTAGATGGACTTTCAGAAGTGGCCAGATAAGGTCATGGTTGAGCAACAAGTCGTCCATGTAACCTGTGGCATGAATGCTAAGTGAAGGTAGGACAAGCTCTTTTGTGAACAATTGGGGTGCAGGGGAGAGCCTGAATGACAAACTGTAAGGGCTGATCTCCACAGCAAAAACAAAGGTAAATGAGTGCGGCATGAATGTCTGGAGGAGCGCTGTACCCCAGGCCCTAAGTTCCTGTGGTTGTGTCTCTGTAGAAGACGGCTGCGAAACAGCAACGTACTTTGCGTATCCTCGGCTAGAAATGTGCCATCCGAGAGGCATGAGTCAGTTACCTCATCTTTCTGAGATTAACTCCAAATAGGAGGGAGATGAAGCCAATTTTAAAAATGCTCTCCGAGAAATGGTAGAGGGTACCCATAATAAAGTGAACAAACATCTCCACTCCTCACTAAACCACTAAGGAGTGAATTCACTAAAGGATTTTGATTGCGATATGGTCACATGACCCATTTTTTCCAAAATATTGCATGCAATAAGAGTCAATTCATCAAGTAGAATATCGAATGTGAGGCTGCACATTTGTTAAAAATATGAGGTAAATACCAAAAAGAAAAAAAATATTTAAGTCAATTGACTAAAGAATACACTTATCACCTGCCAGTAGGCAGTCCGTATTTTATCAATGTACAAAGCAACAGTTCTGGAAACTGCTAGGCAGGGTTATATGGGTATGCTCTATTGGTGACCCTAGCAAAAGTCAATGCCAGTGTCCAATCACCTAAGTTAAGCAGCATATAACTTATAGTCTATGAATACTAGTCCTGTACATTTAAAGTGGTTGTAAAGGCTGAATGATTTTTTTACCTTCATGGATTCTATGCAGTAAGGTACAAACATTCTATGTGCAACATCCCCTCCAACCACCCCTAATACTCACCTAAGCCCCCTCTCAATCCAGCGATGTGCACTGGAGTTTCGGCTACCCCAGGATTCCCTCTCCTCTTTAGCTGAGACAGCAGCAGAAGGCATTGGCTCCCGCTACTGTCAGTCACAGACAGTGAGCCAATGAAAAGAGAAAGGGGGTGAGGTCGAGCCACAGCTCCGTGTGTGAATATGCACATGGTGCAGTGGCTGTGGTGTGTGCATGCTTGGGTGCCCCCATAGCAAGCTGCTTGCTGTGGGGGGCATCCGACAGGAGGGAGGGGCCAGGAGCAAAACCACTGCACACAGCAAGTATAGAGATGTTTGTTATTTAAAAAAAAAAAAATATTTAAGCCTTTAGAATAACTAAGATAAATATTTTAGACCAGCAGAGCTAGACACATTAGTAGTAGTAGAAGTTTATCCTGAGCTGGCGTGTAGTTTGTTTGCCAGTGTCCAATGCTCCTGTAAGTGGCAGTATAACTTATAACAATGAAGACTTGTGTAACCCTCAATAGACAAACATTCATTTTAGAAACACCTTTTGTAACGGTTCACAGAAATGGGTACACATCACAAATGAGTATGTAGATGAGATGGATTTTGTGAAGGAAAATGATATCTACAGTTCTACTACTAATTAGCTCTGATACTATTTTTAAAGACCTTTTGTACTACGTCAACCTAGGTTTTAGTTTTCTTAAGGACACTTCATAACAGCAGTCCTGCTTCTGTACACAGCAAGTATAGCAGGTTCACAGCAGTAATTTATTAAACTGGCCTCCTCACCTTGTTGGTTTTCATCTCTAAGAAATCCAACATGATCCTCAGGAACATTTTCTTCCTCTCCTGGGGAAAACCAGTAATTAGAAATCATGGACTCTTATCTAAACTCCAACTATAATGGTCTGTAATGTACAGAGCATAACACTACCAATCAGCTCTTCAAAAGCTTCTAAAAGATTTAATTTGCTAAAAGGTAATACAGACATTGAACATAAATATGCTTTACAATTTGACAGGCAGAACTCTAATGGCAACGTATTCAGGGCACACAAAATTGCCAGATTTAAGCATCATGCAACGTAGGGGTTAAAGTTCAAAACCTTTCAAGCATCAAAAGTGCTTCCCATTTGTATGAAAAGCAACCAAATCTTCCATCATGCATGTGCTTTCCTCTAAATGTTAGCAAAGTTTAGAACAGGTTGGCAGAACACGGTGGAGTTACAGGGCCAGCCTGAAGGAAAACAAAAGAATATATTCCAGAAGAAAAACTTGAAAAATGAACAGCAAATCTGACTTGAACTGAATATATACCAACTATATTCAAATATAACACTTATGCACAACGTCTCAATGCTGATGTTAAAAAATCCAAACCACAGACAAAGTCCTGGATTATGCATGGCTCATTTCTATTCCATTAACAGGGTTTTTTACATTGTACAAATTACCAGACTGTACACCCTTAACACTTGTGACAAAGCACAGAAGCGGTTTGCTTTCAGATAAGTATCCCAGTGAAAACACTTGTATGGAGCTTGTATGGAGCTGTGCTCAAGAGTCACTCATCTGACTCATTCACCTGTGTGCATAATTTTAGACTAAGATCTGAACTTATATCACTCACATTTTTAGTATAGCAGGTAAGATTAAAGCTTGCCATACATTAATCTTTATCGCATAACGAGTGGGTTGAACAAAAGAAAAGAAAAAAAAGGAGGAACCTGATTTGCCATCCACACATTCCAGGCAGAAGGAGAAACCACTCCAGTGAGCCCTCCCTGCCGTCAGAACACATTAATCAGTGTTGCCGGCTATAGCCGACGACCCAGATTGTTTGGGGGGGGGGGGGGGGGATGGGGAATCAGACAGGTTGGCTGTACAGAGGTCGATTGGTAGACTGACGTCTGTAAAACCAGACTGCCCACACACAGATCAAAAGTCTATCTGTCCTTGCTAAACTGGCCGAATTCATGTATGGCTGGCTTTACCTGTAAAACATGTAGAGCTCCCATCTGGATATTCGTACATATGAAGTATTCACAGAGTCTGATTCTTGAGTACCAAAGCACTTTATATTTTAGCCACATATTTATATCCACATCTCTAAATGTAAATGCGCCAAAAATGCCAATGTCATGCAATGTGTAATGACTATGACACATTTATGGTTTGCAGATGGAAGATGCTTATCAAAATCAGATCAGTAACAATATAATCACATGCTTTGAGTCTAGTTGTAAAAAATACAATGAATCCTAAATACTTTCTTTATGGCATAGCAAACTGAAAGAAGCCTGTACTTTTAAAGAAAATATATTACAACTCCAAAACCAATTACCTTCAGTACCCTCTCACATCATTATGTGATTGTGACTATAGGGTTGACCGTACACTTAAGATTTTTTTTTTTTTTCTTCAGCCAGGGAGCTGAATGAAATGGGAGGATTTGTTTTTTATTTCCCTCCATACATACAAAGGAGGTAGAGGAATCCCTCTATCACACTGGGACCCACCGCTGTCGGAATATGCTGATCATTGGCTGTAGTCTGACAGTTTTCCAGCATGACTCATCAACAGAAATCAAACAGGGACAGCCACACACTGATCCAAATCGCCAGTCCTGCAGAACCAGCCATATTTCGATCAGTGTATGGCCAGCTTAACACATGTTATGACAGTTTGGCTAGTTCTTGATGTTTTCAATGAATCTTCAGCCTAAAACTGAAAGGACAATTAAGATACACTATTTGTAACAAGCAAAAATTTAACTGCACTGCATTGCCTGACCCAGCTCATTTTTGGTCTATGAACTGCAAAAGATTCAAGCGGCTTTTCTGGGTTACTACAATTTTCTTTTAATGGTGGTTAAAGTAGTGGCTGAAGCAACTTGCGTGAACTCCTATGACATGTTTTACTCCATTTAAATCTGAATGCTTGAAAAGGGCAGGTTAACCTTACCTGTAATTGGAATTAATTTCCAGTTCATTTCAGTCTCCACATTGCTGGAATTAGAGTTTTGCTGCTGATAGATTTCTTCAGTAGGGGTGCTGGGACAAGGACTGGCATATCCTGAATATGGCCCCTGGGCAAAAGAAAAAAAAAAAAAAAGTCTTGCTTTATTATATGAACAGCGAGTTAGCTGAAGTGCTAAGGGGTCAAGCTATCCTGAAGCCTGACAGTAGCCAACTTTCAATTGCCTGATTTCATGCACTGCACACAGAAAATCTAGGAGACCGCACATGGAGGGCTTGTTCACACTTGACTCAAAAGGCTCTTAACAAATGTACATATAGCGTTAAGATGCTCTCCCAAACACCCTATGATCGTTTTTGGCACATTCTAATGTGAGTTAAAACCGCATCACAAGCACTTATTACTGTAATGTTATTAACATGCTGCAACTGCACCGCAAATGCATGCCAGTATGTATGCAGCAAACTAGACTTGAATGTAAGGAGTTGAAATGTGTTCCTGCACCCGCAGCCACCCATAGCTAAACTGTGGTGCTCTTTTGCAGACTCTCGTGGCTACCATTCATTAAGGCAAAGTTCACACTGAAGCAGTGCAAATTCCTTTGGTTTTCAAGTGTGATTCAAGGAGCACCTTACAGTGCGATTCAGCTGGAATAGTAATGTATTTTTCCAGCGATTTTTACACAATTGCAATCTCTCTGTCAGATCACACATTCCAAAGGCGCACCCCTTTTTCAAAATGCACTGCATATTGCCTGCATAGATGTGAATAGCCCCCATAGGAATTCATTTTATCTTCCATGTCCATGTGAATCACTGTGGTTTAAAGACATCCAAAACTGCATCAATGTGAAACAGAGCTAATGGCACCCACACGCATCTGAAAAGGCAGCTCATTTTTGAGTGCACAAACACTGAATGGTGCAAAACCACCATGCAATTTTCCAACGCTGCGTTTTGAAAAACTCTGAATAATTACATCACTAAAATATGGGATGGGGGGGGGGGGGGGGAATAATTATTTGATTATTTGTTATCAATCAAAGCAAGTAGTTAACAATGGAGAATGAAAGATGCTGTATAAAGAACCTTGGCAGCAGCACTCTACACTTGTAACTTTGTTAGCATCACTTCTGGGTAGACCTAATAAGAGGATTTTGCATTAATCCAGTCTCCATAAAATAAAATCATGTATTGGTTAGTTGTCAGCAATAGAAAGAACGTGAAAATATTACGTAGGCCATCTTTGTTTTACAGATACTACTGAGGTGATTCTAAAAACAAGATCGCGGTCAAAAAAGGACTTTGTGATTAGCCTTCAGATGCGGTTAAAAAATTTAGTGGCTCTGTTTCACCTCCTTTTCAGGCCTCAATTGCAGCCTTAAGTATTTACGTAGACTCTTGCTGGCAGCAAACTCTTTATAACACTTGTTTATTTTACAGATGCATTGTACCAACATTTACATGCTTAGAGCACACATGGATTCTACTGACCTCCACCGCTGCTCAGTGTCGACATGAACCAATGTGTAGCCAGAGGCGTTGCCACTGCTGATGTTTACATGTCAGCCCTGAATAAGTCATTCTTGTGGTAGAGGCAAATGCACAGAATGACCTCAGGCAATTCTGAATACCTGAAGGCGGAGTTCATTCTGCACATGTGCAACCCACTGCAGGAATGACTACTAGGGCTGGCATGTAATCAATCTTGTGTAATCTGCAGCATTGCTGGCTACACATTTTTGACATTTACATGTCATATCTGGGCAGTGGTGGCCAAAGGTCTCTGTAGATTTGTTGCCATAATAGCATAAATGTGTATATTATTGTACAGTGTAAAATAGAGGAAATGACAGCCCTGGATGCAGTTGTGCTCAATTTTTTTTACATTGCTGAATGCAGAGCACCATTGCGCTTCATGTATTGAAATCTTATGGATTATGCTGAACTACGATGAACTGTAGGTGTCAATTTTAGCTGGGGTTCCATGAGCCCTGAATATTTCAAGGGTTCCTTCAGGGTAAAAAAGGTTAAGAAAACCTGACCTAATGGTAAAAGGGCACAAAAAGGAGTCTCTCAGGGAACTCCACAAAATAGAACAAAGTATGACAACTACCCATAGACCTTTATAAGGAATTTAATACAAGAAGAACACAGGAGTTACAGTGACGAAAATAAGGATTTCATCCCCTGCTGAATTTGAATGTTTGTCCACTCACAAAGAAATGATCAGTCTAAAAATCGAATGGTAGGTGTATTGTAACACTAAGACAGAATAGCAAAAAAAAAAATTCAAAAGAAATGCATGTCTAACAAATTATGCACTGATTTGCATGTTCATGAGGGAAATAAGTATTTGATCCCCTATCATTCAGCAGGATTTCTGGCTACCAGGTGTCTTTCATACAGGTAACAAGCTGAGATTAGAAGCAGTCTCTTAAAGGGAGTGCTGCTAATCTCATTTTGTTACCTGTATAAAAGACACCTGTCCACAGGAGCAATCAAACAATCAGATTCCAAACTCTCCACCACGGCAAAGACCAAAGAGCTGTCCAAGGATGTCGGCGACAAGATTGTAGAACTACACAAGGCTGGACTGGGCTACCAAACTATCGCCAAGCAGCTTGGTGAGAAGGTGACAACAGTTGGTGCAATCATTCGCAAAAGGAAGAAACACAAAACAACTGTCAGTCTCCCTAGGTCTGGTGCACCATGCAAGATCTCACCTCGTGGAGTGTCAATGATCATGAGAAAAGTGAGGAATCATCCCAGACCTACACGTGAGGATCTTGTCAATAATCTCCAGGCAGCTGGGACCACAGTCAGGGAGCTGAAAGTTCTAATTGCCAAACGTCAGCCACCAAACCTTAATGACTTGGAGAGGATCTGCCAAAAGGAGTTGACCAAAATCCCTCCTGAGATGTGTGCAAACCTGGTGGCCAACTACAGAAACCGTCTGACCTCTGTGATTGCAAACAAGGGATTTTCCACCAAGTACCAAGTCATGTTTTGTTTAGGGGATCAAATACTTATTTCACTCAGGAACATGTAAATCAGTGCATAATTTGTTCGACATGCATTTCTTTTGAATTTTTTGTTGCTATTCTGTGTCTCAGTGTTACAATAGACCTACCATTCAATTTTTAGACTGATCGTTTCTTTGTGAGTGAGCAAACATTCAAAATCAGCAGGGGATCAAATAGTTATTTCCTTCACTATATGAAAACCATAAAAACAAAGGATATTTACAGAATTTAGCTTCATATTATAGTGTGAATGTCAGGCACACCTATTCTATGTGGCCCCCAGGGACATACAGAAGTCACCTCCAGGTACTTGTTCAGCATCAGCAGAGCAGAATCCACAAAATTGAGCACTTTATAATACTGACCTCCCCTTCACTGGCCGTACTACTGACCAAAAAATAGGATTGGCAGCCTTGATTGCCCAAATAAAGCTGTGTGAAGAAGAGGAGGCAAGCCAGAGTTTGGTCACAGTCTGTGGTCAATATTTCCTAAGCAAGCTCCAAGGTTTTGGGGTTCCTGGAATAATCTGTTTATAATCCAAGCATGCAAGTAGGCACCGGAAAAGCCTGTTCTATGAAATCTGGGGCCTAAATAGAACGTTTTATGAAGCATTAGCTTCCTAGAAAGCAAAAGCCAAGACAAAGAAATGTGCAGTACAAATACAAGCAATATTATGTTTTTTGTTAAAATTCTATAGTTTAATAGCTCTGTAACAAGGAACAGAATGTATACAATCATACCAGTTTTCTGCAATAGATTAATCCAAAATTAATAAAAAAGTAGCATTACACTTCACTTACCTGAATCATCTCCTCAACTGGCAGTGGATCACTTCCATCATCTATGTTTTGTACCAGGGCATTGTCTGCAAGGGGAGCAGCAGGTACTGCAACACTCTCTGGAACATTCCCACTTTGGGATTCCACATAAGTGCTTTCAACATAATGTGTACCAACGTCGGAGGCAGTGCCAACAGATTCTACAGGAGTAGGAGCATCACTAGCCAATCCCACAAAGTTCACGTCTGAAGTCTCAGCACTTACTGCCGTTTGAAACAGGCAACAAATTCTGTGGGTCCAACAGGCCAGAATTCGACAGTTTTTCAAATAACCCTTTACAATACTCTGCATCAGCCAACAGTTGTTCTGATGTCACTTCCTCTTCATTCTCTTGTCTCAGATCTGTATCCTGTCCACCAAGAGCAGATATTAAAGAATGTGCTGATTCCTCTGGATCTTGACCTTTGGAAAGAAACAAGCAAGTTATTCCAGTACATTCACACACGCCACACAAAAGTGAACCAAAGTACTTAGTAGTACAAATCAGTTTTCCAAAAAGAACAGCTGATATGAATACAATTGCATATACACACAGATCACGATGGCTTCATTTCCAATGTTCCTCAAAACCCTGCTTATGAATCTGGGACTGGAGCAGTAATAGCTGGGCCACTTTGAAGTTTTCTAGTGACAACCTGGAAGTTTTCAAATCAGGCTTCATGAAGTAGTTAAATGGCCTACACCTATAGCAACTGAATTTTAGTCAGAGCTGCACAACTTGTTTTCATCTATAGACATCCCTTATCCACAGTTTTTTGGTAAACGTGAACTATTCCTTTAAAGTGGCTGTAAACCCTCATTTACCCAGTGAATTGAATAGCCTCAGATAATTCACAGAGATGAAAAATCCTCCTAAGTTTTACTTGTTTATCTGCAATCTTCTCTTTGCTACATCCCTCCAGAAGTGCAGAATTGTGATAAAATCCTTCTCTGTCAGTATCACAGAGGAGGGGGCTGAGAGTTGCAGTTAGAGAACTTGTACAGTGTGCAAGAGCTTATTGGAGGAAAGGGACACCCCCTCTCCACAAAGCACACAGGAAGGAAGATACAGAGCTGTGTTGTAAGTAGATAAGCTGTGCACTCCCTCCCCATCACAAATTTATCTCTGGTGTTGGAAAATCATTCAGAAGTGACACATGCTGATAACAGAGGAGTGAAGCACCAGAGAAAAAAAGGGCACAGTCCTGGTTCACAATGAATGTGACTTTGAAATCGCATTACTTCACTTGAAGTAGCACAATTTCAAAGCTGCAGATCAGTGAGATTTGTACTTTATTTCAATGTGGCTAGCGACTTCATTTAACAGAAGTCAATGCAAGTCGCAATGAAATCGGACAAAGTGCAGGAACTATTTTTGAAATCGCACTGATTAAGACAGTATCATAGAAATACATTAGATGCAACTTCAGGTGCAATTTGTAAATTGAATAAATCTACAGAAACCCCAGCGCACAGGTAAACCCAAAAAATTAGACCCAGGTTATGGATTGCTGCTGCGCACAGGTAAGTACACCAAAAAGTTTTTAAATATAAAAAAAAGCGCAAAACACCACCTAATTCAAACCATACCATAAATGTCATGCATTGTATCAAACAATACAAAATATATATAAAAACTATTATATAGTGACCACAAAAAAATATTTATAATATTTTCTTTCATAAAAGTGTCCAAATTAAAATACATAAAGAAAAAAGTCCTTCCTCCCAATGGATTGTGAAAAAGACATATCCAAACAAAATAATGCTTACACCAATCACCAGTGATCAAAATCAACATCAACCGCACTCACCAGATGATGGTGAGTAATGCGCCTTTTAGGATGTTTTGGGATCCTAAGCCCCCTTTTTTTTGAAGCCTTCAATGATCTTTCCCACCATATAGGGTTTAAATATTCCTTCCACTTGCTCCTGCCTTCTCCTCTCATCAAACTCCACAGCAGTACAAGGGAAAAAAATATAATAGTGTAATACTGCTAATAAATACTGCAATACTTAGTAAGAATTGCCAGATCACTCACATTTAGTTAAAAGGATAAAAGCATCTATTTTATTACCTCCATAGGCTAGCATAAGTTTCACTGTTTCCACATCTCATCACAGAGATCTCACAGCCTGGTATAGCAAGGGATGACAGGATCAACTCTAAAAATGGCCGCTTGGAACACACTGCTCGGCGTGCGTTCCACTGACCGGAAGTGACGCGGGACGTCAGACCGGAAGTGCGTCGACGCGTTTCGCCCCAACCACAGGGCGTTCTCCTCCGTTCACTTCCGGTGAGTGGAACGCACGCCGAACAGTGCGTTTCAAGCGGCCATTTTTGGAGTTGATCCTGTCATCCCTTGCTATACCAGGCAGTGAGGTCTCTGTGATGAGATGTGGAAGCAGTGAAACTTATGCTAGCCTATGGAGGTAATAAAATAGATGATTTTATCCTTTTTACTAAATGTGAGTGATCTGGCAATTCTCACTAAGTATTGCAGTATTACACTATATTTTTTTTCCCTTGTACTGCTGTGGAGTTTGGTGAGAGGAGACGGCAGGAGCGAGTGGAAGGAATATTTAAACCCTATATGGTGGGAAAGAGCACTGAAGGCTTAAAAAAAAAAAAGGGAGGGGGCTTAGGATCCCAAAACATCCTAAAAGGCGCATTGCATTACTCACCATCATCTGGCGAGTGCGGTTGATGTTGGTTTTGATCACTGGTGATTGGTGGAAGCATTATTTCGTTTGGATCTGTCTTTCACAATCCATTGGGAGAAAGGACTTTTTTCTTTATGTATTTTAATTTGGACACTTTTATGAAAGAAAATATTATAAATATTTTTTTGTGGTCACTATATAATAGTTTATATATATATTTTGTATTGTTTGATACAATGCATGACATTTATGGTATGGTTTGAATTAGGGGGTGTTTTGCGCTTTTTTTTATATTTAAAAACTTTTTGGTGTACTTACCTGTGCGCAGCAGCAATCCATAACCTGGGTCTAATTTTTTGGGTTTACCTGTGCGCTGGGGTTTCTGTAGATTTATTCAATTTACAAATTGCACCTGAAGTTGCATCTAATGTATTTCTATGACACTGTCTTAATCAGTGCGATTTCAAAAATAGTTCCTGCACTTTGTCTGATTTTATTGCCACTTTATTAGGCACACTTGTTCAATTGCTTGGTAACACAAATTGCTAATCAGCCAATCACATGGCAGCAACTCAATGCATTTAGGCATCTAGATGTGTTTAGGACAACTTGCTTAAATTCAAACCTAGCATCAGAATTGGGATTTAAAGGACTATGAACATGGCATGATTGTTGGCGCCAGATGGGCTGGTCTGGCATCTCAAAAGCTGCTGATTTACTGGGATTTTCACGCACAACCATCTCTAAGGAAATCAAGACTCATCAGACCTGGCAATGTTCTTCCAATCTTCTATTGTCCAGTTTTGGTGAGCCTGTTGAAGCCTCTGTTTCCTGTTCTGACAGGAGTGGCACCCGGTGTGGTCTTCTGTGGCTGTAGATCTGCTTCAAGGTTCGACGTGTTGTGCGTTGAGATGGTATTCTGCATACCTTGGTTGAACGAGTGACTATTTAAGTTACTGTTGCCTAAAACCTTGAACCAGTCCGCCCATTCTCCTCTGACACCAACAAGGCATTTTCATCCACACAACTGCTGCTTACTGGACATTTTCTCTTCTTCGGACCATTCTTTGTAAACCTAAAGATGGTTGTGCGTGAAAATCCCAGTAGATCAGCAGTTTTTGAAATATGCCATGATCAAAGTCACTTGAATCCCCTTTGTTCTCCATTCTGATGCTCTGTTTGAACTGCAAGTTGTCTTCACTACGTCTAGATGCCTAAATGTATTGAGTTGCTGCCATGTGATTGGCTAATTAGCGATTTGTGTTACCAAGCAAATGAACAGGTGCACCTAATAAACTGGCCGGAGTGTATTTGCTTTGTTTAGATTTCATGACTGAGGTTTACAACCACTTTAAAGCAGGGTTGGGCAACTGCAGCCCTTCAGCTGTTGCAGATGTACAAGTCCTATCATGACTCTACCTCAGAGTAACTATTGTCTCCCCATCATGTCTGCCTCTGGGAGTCATGCTTTTAACTTGCAAAGCCTTATGGGACATTCAGAGGCTCCAATCACCTCTATGGCCACAAGTGTATAAAATCAACCACCTAGGTATACAGACTACTTCTACAAACATTTGTGAAAGAATGGTTCGCTCTCAGGTGCTCAGTGAATTCAAGCACAGTACCGAGTTAGGTTGCCACCTGTGCAATAAGTCCATCCATGAAATTTCCTTGCTACTAAAATATTCCACGGTCAACTGTTAGTGGTATGGTAAAGTGTAAGCAACTGGGAACAGCAGCAACTCAGCCACCAAGTGATAGACCACATAAAATGACAGAGTGGAGTCAGCACATGCTGAAGCGCACAGTGTGCGTTAGTCACCGACTATCTGCAGAGTCAATAGCTAAAGATCTTCAAACTTCGTATGGCCTTCAGATTAGCACAACAATGCATAGAGAGCTTCATGGAATGGGTTTCCATGGCCGAGGAACTACATCCAAGCCTTACATCACCAAGTGCAATGCAAAGAGTTGGATAAAGTGGTATAAAGCACGCCGCCACTGGACTCTAGAGCAGTGGAGAAGTGTTCTCTTGAGTGACAAATCACGCTTCTCTGTCTGGCAATCTGATGGATGTGTGTCTAGGTTTAGTGGTTGCCAGGAGAACAATACTTGCCTGGCTGCATTGTGCCAAGTGGAAGTTTGATGAAGGGGGATTATGGTGTGGGGTTGTTTTTCAAGGGTTGGGCATGTAGTCTTTCTATAAATATACATTTTATATTAATGTTCACCAACAACAAAGCTGATGAGGGTGCACAGCTGGTCATTTCACATGTCAGTGTGTTCTGTAGGCTTACATCTAGGACATTTTTTTCCTCTCATTGTCCTGGGCAGCTCGAGTACTAAAATGAAGATATGCATGTAGAAGACTGGGGAAAGACTGCAAGGGAAGGGGAACGGTTCTGCTGTACCAGGTGAACACCCCCTACTGTTATGGGGCTGCTTGCAGAATGCCCTCTGACAGTGTCAACATTTTTAACCTGGAATCATGTTATCCTCTAATCTTAGTCTGCTGTGCCAGAGTCCTCCTTTACTGGTGTGGTTGGACCCTCTCCATTGGACAGTTTGTTTACATCAATGAGGCATGATTTTATGACCCAGGCTACCCAGTTATTTACAAACTGTGGTCAGAGGCAACAAGTGTGCTGCCGCACGTTTTCATGCAGATTTTGCCCATGGCCAAAAGCTGGCCATTAATTGGCAGAATGCTGCTTGAAAAGTTCTATTTCTATAAGATTCATTTGACTTTCTAACGTTTAGTGGAGTTAAATTGTTCCTTTTCTAATATTGAATGGAAAATTCAAAGGATAAACATTTTTTTCAAACATGCTGTGAACGTGGATTTATTTTGGGAAAAATAGCGCATAATTTAATGAAACCTGTTTAATACATATGTGATTACATTCAAATAGCTGGTCTGAGTGAAATGTAAGTGCTTTCAAACAAAATTAGTTGCCCTTGAGTCATCACAGTCTACTGCTATTACTCAAAGTATGAATTTCAGCAAAACTTTTTGATAAGAGTGAAGGGGAAGCAGAACACACGAAAGGTTTTTTTTATTGCTGTGTCCCCATTAGGGAGATCTCCCCAATGGTAGATTACAAAAAAAAACCTCCTAAAAAGGTTATAGCCATCCCTTACTGTATCCAAAGGAGACCATTTCATCTTATTGATGCAGTGAGCCCACTCAAACTAAAAGTTTGACCTGTTGCAGCTATCAGTGCAGTTTTTAGTGTTCGGTTATTTACAAATTTTAAAGGCCTCAAAGACCTTCCCTTTGCACATGGTTTTTTAACGGTTTCCCTGTGGAGCCTGGAAACATTCTGACAAGCTGTTTACGTCCCCTAAATGCTCATTAGCCTTACTTTTGTTTGAGGATTTTGTGGATGAGTTGTCTCATCCTACTGTGGATCTGGCATTGTCCCACCTAACAGGGCACTTACTATTCTGGTAGAGTATGTGTCCTTATCAGATTTTGGCTGTGACCTTACTTCTTCAAACCATGTCTGACTGGCCTAAATCCCTTGGGTTGATCCTTTGCTTAGAGAAAGCAGAAGCAGATAACTGTAGCTTCCCAATTTAACAGTGACTGCTTGCCCAGGTCCTCTAGTCTCAGCCCTTGCATGTATCGCATGTCAATTCATATGTGCAGGATAACATTGGCTAAAGAGGTAGAATGCAGAAAATTTGTGTGCAAAATGTATTTGATCTGCAAGGCCTTTGAAGGACAGTATTCTCTTCGGGGCCAGTTCTTGAGATAATCATTAAACGCTTACCCACCACCATATAGCAGACATACTGCTACACAGCGGCACAGGTGTGCAAAATCACGTATATATACACGCAATTTTGCATTTCCAGGTAGGGGGCGTGTGTGCCCTAGCTGCGCCGCCATTCACGGCCACGGTTGTCAACACTGGGTCCCGGCCGGTGATTACCGAAAATCACAGACGGGGAGGAAGACTGTTTTGTTTACAGTCTTCCTCCCCGTTAGCTCGGGCACATTGCTTGGGATGGCTGTGCACAGTGAAGAAAGCACACACCCCCTGCCCCCTAGTAAAACACTCCCTACACAGTTAACCCTTTGATCGCCCCTCACATTAACCCCTTCCTGCCCAGTGTCATTAGTACAATGTCAGTGCTGTTTTTTAGCACTGATCACTGTATTGGTTTCACTGGGGATGTCAGTGATACCTAGTTCCCCCCAGCGTCAGAATGCCTGCCGCAGTCCTGCTAAAAGTCACTGATCGCCATTACTAGTAGGGGAAAAAAAAAAATCCCAGTACCGCCATTTGTAAACGCTATAACTAACTAAACCAATTTAAAATTTTTTTTAGCAATGACATGTAGCAGAATACAATTTGACCTAAACTTAGAACGAAATTTAAATTTTTTATTGGACATGTTTAACCAGCTCTTCCGGGTGGACGCCATATGGTGTCTCTTCAGGCATGCGCATTGCGCCTGCCCGCAGGGCAGCGCAGTAGCGCGATCTGTCGCCGGCCGTGTACCTCGGACACGGCTGATCACAGATCTGTGTACCGGCCCCTTTGCCAGTACCATGTGACCTGCTGTAAAAACAATCACAGCAGGTCACATGACAGTTTTATATAATGGATGGCTTCCTTTCATGCCATCCATTGTATACAAGTGTGTCTAGCTGTGAATGGTCACAGCGATCACATGCACAAGCTGGGCCAATCACAGCCCAGCTGTGTCGTGATTAGCTGTGGCCAAATCACAGCTAAGTAAAAAAAAAAAACCCTGAAAAAACCGGATTTCATTCAAGTAAATGCTTGCTTATAGCAAATAAATTCTTTCCCAGGGTTGTGACGTCATCCAGCCCCTCCCCTACACGTTACACCACAGGATCACGTGGCTTCGTCAGGGTGATATCCCTTTTGCTGTTTGATAGAATATTTGTGCTGAAATAGTCTGATGCGCTCTGGGACCTGCAAAAAGTGAGTGCATCTCTGAAAGTTTGTTTAGTAGTAATAAATGGTTTTAAGAGGATAAGCACTATGTTTGGTGGTTTCTCTGCTCACATGTACGGCTGAGGTGAATCATTGAATGAAGCGTATACCTATAAAGGAATAAGGAGCACTGTTTGGAATTTATCTATGATGGAATGTATCATGTCCAATATAAGGAACACAAGTGCTAAGTGACTTTAATTGTACAGTCTTATATCCCAGGTGAGATTTTAGATGGCCTGGATTTTAGAATCATGCAGACAAGGCATATTAGATTACAGACAAAAGATTCCACACAGCAACACACAGCCTATTGTACTGAAATCAAATGTCTGTAACAGTCCAAACACACCCTACCGGCCTGAGCGTTTTTTTTTTTCATCTTTGTATCGCCTGTGCATACCAAACTATATTGCTTCAGCTTTTATTGAGACTTAGCTCATTATATTTCTAACTACATTAGGTAGCTGATCACTTTCAATTTCTGGCAAGTACATGGCTACAAGTAGGCACACTGCCATTGCTACAAATATTTGTACTGAAAATATTTCTAAAACTTACTGTTCTGATGCATGTAGTCTTCATATTTTGGATGCTTCCATTGTGCCTCTGGACTGGTTTCCAGCTTTCTTTTCACTCCACTGTTTGGAACATCATCTGTTTCCAGATTCCCCTTTTTCCTAGTCTGAATTAGATTTAATAAGGAATTCACTTTGTCTAGATCATAATATGAATTATCAGGAAGTATTTCACGCCCAGTTGCTCGGCTTATGCTTGTTCCATTATCATGATCATCCTCCATGGGTTCATAGTCAGAGATGGGACTGAACTGCTGAACCTTTCTATTCTCCATGATCAGTTCCTTTGCACGTTTTACTAGCAATGTATATGCATCTGATCCTTTCAGATAGCTCTCGACAATTCGAAGTATCCCACTCTTATCTCTTGGCGCTACAAACAAGGTTTTCTTATCATCGCAACCCTGCTCATAGTTTCTAAGTTTATAATCTTTATGCTTGTAAGATCCTTCTTCTCGTCTTTTCAAATACAAGTGCGCATGTTTCTCCACGACAGTGTTAAAGTTGTCAGAAGTGTCTGACTGAGCCTTATTGATGGCATAGTGTAAACCTCCAAGAAAGGTCAAGAACTCAGGCATAATTTCATTGCTTTCTGGGATGGAAGTGGGTCGGACTTTAGAGCGTGATCCTGAATTAAAAGAAAACAAAAAAAAAATGTAAAACCTGTTAAGTGCAGGAAAACTTGCATATTACTAGCTGAATAAAAACAGGATAAGTTACAAGAACTGAAAGTTTGTGCAAATCGAAACACCAGGAAATAAAGGTATTTTGTACTCACAATAAAATATTTTTCTTGGAAGTCCACTGAGGGACACAGGACGTCATTAACAGGCTGATTATACTGCCATGAACAATGGAATGAACACTGGAAAGCAAACTGTAGACCAGTTACTAAGAGCATGCCTCAGTTTTGTAGCAAAATAGTACCAAGGCATGATCACTAACACAGAAGGGTGGGGGACCTGTGTCCCTCAATGGATTCAAAGAAAGGATTTTTGTACTTGCCTTAAAATCCTATTATACGTCTAATCTATTGAGCGACACAAAGTCAATAACGGTTGGGAGAGCCGAAACAACACAACTGTGGGTTAAGACGAAAACTCAAGTGTCTCAGTGTGACAGAAAAAGGGTGGGATCCTATTTTGAAGACTAAACTTGTATAATTGGTCTGTCTGAACCACTGAGAAACTGAACCAAAAAAGGTGGTTCCTCTTAAGGGAACCTTGGGAAATGAGAGGGATAATTAGTCTTTCTGAAGGAATCAGTGGCTAAGAGATACTCACAGTCTAAACCACATCCGGACAATGGAAATCTATGAACTGGATCTGGACAGTAGGACAGGAGAATGGTCATGGTACAGGTAAAAGGCCAAAACTTTAAGGCTCTTATTGAATGTTTGAGTTTCATCTAATACCTGATGAATCAGCTGAAAAGCAAGTCGCGAATGGCCTTCCAAGAACCATCCCATACAAAAAAAAAAAAAAAAAAAAGGATTTAAAAAATAGGCCCAACAGCATTTTTATAATGCAGTACACTGCAGCTGGGGCTGTCTGAATACAACCCCAATCCCCCCCCCCCCCAAAAAAAAGTTATGTTGTTAAAATCTACATTAAAACAGAATCCAAAGCTCTTCCAAGTTAGTACCACTTTGTCAGCCTTTTGTTGCTCTGTCCCAACTTTTGAAACATGTTGCTGCCATCAATTTCAAAATTACCTTATTTTCCTCTAATAGTACCTTAAACATTTGATTTTTTTTTTTTTTTTTTTTTTTTTTTTGTGAATAAAATACGGGTTTGAGATATGCAAATCATTGCAATTTTTCTAGAACTGGGGTTATACAATATCTGCAAGAGCAGAAAGGGTTCTTTACAGGTTAAGGCTGCCAGCTCAGACTTACCTTGCAGGAGGTGATGGCTACAAGAAATAAAGGATAAGTTCACTTTTGGAAACATGTTCACCCGTTTTTAGGGTGTAACATGTAACATGTTCCCAATGCTGAAGCTGCTCTCCGATCCCTCCCGCAACATCAGTATGGGTAGATGTTCCCCTGTACAAGCTGAGACTTTTTAAAAACAGCACGGCCATTTGGAGCTCCGCCCACACGGCAGAGTCATTCATTCACAGAGTTCTGTGATTGAATGAACTACAAGTCCCGACAACCTTAGCGGCTGTCAGCTTGTAGTTCTCAATGAACTACCATGGTGCTGTGGAGCGCCGTGGTAGTTCATTGATTCTTCCTGTCAGTGTATCTGTTTGCCTGTACGGGATCTATAGGCACACGGATACACTGACAGGTCTGCAGGAGACCTGCATGGCATCAGAAACCTGCTGATCACTGGTGCAATGCTTCACAAGCCCATGCAACAAAAAATAAGTGCACTTTTTTTTTTACATTAAAAAAGTGCATTTTTTGTCAAAAGGTGAATTTTTTTTTTTTGCTATAAAATTACTTACAACATATATTTTTTAAAGCAGAGGCCCTAAAGAATAAATTTGTAGGTTTTGAATTTTTTTATGTCACACGGTATTTGCGCAGCACAATTTTTATGGGAAAAAATACACTTTTATATTTTAATAAAAAAAAAGGGTTATGTATTGTTTTTTGCAATAAAATTAAAGATGTTACGCTGAATAAATGGATACCAAACATGTGACACTTTAAAATTGTGCGTGCCCGTGAAATGGCGACAAACAAAGTAAATTTTACTATCCATAGACGACGCTTTAAAAGCCTTTACAGGTTACAACTTTAGGTTTACAGAGGTGGTCTGGTGCTAGAATTACTGCCCATGTGATCGCTTACATGTGTGGGTTAATTTCGGTTTGTGTGGGACCGATGTGCGCACTCCCCTTTGAGCACGAGCACAGGAGGATGGGGGTGCTTTAAAAAAACATTTTAGTTTATCACTGTTATTGCTGTCACAAGGAATATAAACATCCTTGTGACAGCAATAGGCATGTGACAGGTACTCTTTAGGGAGAGATCTAGGGTCTATAAGACCACAGTTAAAAGCAATCAAAAACACCAAGATCGGCGTTTCTGAATGCTTTTATATTTTGTTAAAAATGGTGGTTTACTTCCTAGTAAACCGAACGTGATGTCAGGTCATCACTTCCAGTTTACTATAATGGAGAGCCGATCAAAGCCTATCCTGGCTTTGTTCGGCTGTCCAGCCAGTCGGCTCATGCGTTGGCTTGTCTCGGGTCTCCAGGTGGAATGGGAGAGCCCGAGGGAGTGACAGAAGCGGGGTATGTCCCCTCCCACTCCTTCTAATAGCGATCTAGCAGCTGGAAAGCCACTCCAATTTCTATTACAAGAGAACCAACAGCCGACTCCACACAACAGTACTGGGGTTATGCCTGCATTGGCAGGCATCACTCGGGTATAGACACTGACAGTCCAGCAATTTACCAGTACTCCACTGGACGGTTAGAGTTTGAGAGAGGTAAGAAAATATTCTTGATAAGTTCAAAAGGCAGTTTTTGTAGCCCTGAGATAAATACATTAAAATCCCCCAGAGTCACAGGAGAGCAAACAGTGGAAACCACATGGGAAACACCCTGCCCAAAGGTCTTGATTAAGAACTGAAAAGCCAAACATCTATGGAGAGATACAAAAGCAGAGACCTGCCCATTAATCCAGTTGTAAAGGAATCATCCCAAGAAAAATGTCTCTTGATTCAGGGATGTCCTTGTCTCTCAAATCCTGAGCTCAAAGTGGAACCTCCCCTCCATCCTCTAACATCTCTGGACTTTTTTTTTTTTTTTTTTTAGGGAGGGGGAGCGGGTATCTAGTTTTGTTAGGTACCTACTCCCCCACTTTTGGTCAGATCGCCTAGGCTATTCCACTGGAAGATGCCCCATCACAACCCCCAGTACACAACCTCTTGGAACATGACACAGGTTCCAGGAGTCTGCGGGATGCGGTCTTCCCACACTAAACATACCAGTGCCAGGGAATTAAAGACCGGCGAAGAACTGGCACTGGATCCTTTGACAGGCAAGTGTCCTTTTATTAAAATTCAGCAGCTACAGTATTTGTAGCCGACTTAATGTTTTTCAAACAGGCTGAAGATCTCTTTAAACAGGCATGAGGTTAAAACCAGTGACTAAAGTAAGATGAAAATCAGTCCTTGAGAAGGCAGAATCAGATGAACTGCATGTAAAAGGAGACTCATGGGGAAGTCTCCAGCTTCCTGTCAAAACTGTAGTCCAGAGCTAGAGCCATTTGTTCCAACACTATGTTACCAAAGAATCAACCATCAGTGATCATCTGTCTACTTGTTTTATACCAGTCGATTAAGGCCACAGCCAAAATAGGATGCAGAGCAGGTTCTGCCAGAGAACATGGCTCTCAAAGAGGGCCTTCAGCCTCTTATTGTAAGGTACTTGAAGATGTGTATGCTTTACCAGAAGGGTGGATGCTTCGTTAAGACAGAATGCTGGCGGATCCTCAGAGAAAGAAGACCTTGTTTTAATGAAGCCCTCTTTAAATGTGTACAAAACTAATAAGCGCTTGGTAGGTAGAAACATCTTGTAAGGATGTTTCCTGTCTACATAAGGCTTGGAACAGCGGGTGCACAGGAAGGAACTCTGCAGTCTTAGGAGCTCTGGACTGGGAAGAGTGGTGGGAGAACCAAGAGGCTGACCCACTAGTTTTAAGGTGGTGTACACCGCATCAATTAACGCAAACATTTTTTGTTTAAGAGTGATGGCAGAAAACCAACTTCTCAGAGGCAGGTTTGTCCAGCAAAGACTGGGGAAATTCAGCAGATGGCTTGGAGTTAAAGCTGCAGGCAGAGCAGATACAGAATCAGCAGTGTAAGGCATGGGAGCACACTCGTGGCCGCTGCATTTAGAGTCAGAAACCTGAGTGATTTGGGCCATAAAGTTGTGCATAACTGTTGGAAAAAACTCCTTAAGAGAAGAGGTTGCCATGACCAACAGAACTAAGAAAGATGGTATAAACTCTAGCTGAGCAGACACGCTGCAAGCACCACCAACATTTTCAGCTATGTGTGAGCTTGGGTACCCAGTACAGCAGGACTGTTCCCCGTGTCTAGAATCTTGCACCTACAAGACAAGGCAACCTAGTTCATGATATGAGGCAAGGCCTCTGGTGCTCTAGCCCAATTGCCTGGAAGTAGGTGTAGGGTCAGCACATTTGCTGCACGTCAAAAGTGGTAAGAGTAGCTTCTATAGCTGCTTGGTATGCCTTTTCATGAAAGCTGGGAGACTGCTAAATAAAAATATATACCAAGCTTGGGCTGCTGTTGTGAGCTTGTTTTAAACACCTGAAGTCCGGGTCATTTATATACATCCCATACATGGCAAATGGTTGATTTTTAATGACTCAGTACAGAAATTCCAGAAGATCTGCATACATTACACTCCCAGAAAACTACTGATCAGATCCTACTAACAATCTACATGAGCTGACCATGTGACTGACAGATTAGTGTAAGTCTCCTCCCACCATCACCCTTCTCTAGATTCTCCCCCGCCTCCTTATTGTTTCTAGCATTTTTCCTGCGTTAAACTTGAAGCTAGCTCAATCTCTGGCATAACAACCTCCTTGGGAGGGTCGCCTATTGAGCCCCAGATAGGACCCAAATATTATACTACTGAAATGGTTTATCATGTACACCCTGGCATGACAACTGCCTGTTGTTCTGCAATCACCATAATTTAGTCATACTGTAAAACTCCATACCAACCAAAAACACTCTGCTACATAACCCTATGATACTCCAACCAATTATTCTTCTATGCTACTTCGTAATGGAGGTTTCAATTTGTATGATAAACATTTATTGAAACAGAATAAAATTCACACTCACCAGGCTGTAAAGTTTCTCTGGACTGCTGGTAGATGAAGAGAGCGTGCAGAGGGTAAGGTTTTTTACTTTGAGAACCTGAAATGGAATTTTTTTTTAGTCACGTTTTTTGGGGGGGGGGGTTTTTTTTTTTTTTTTTTAACATTTACAAAGTCAATATAGTATACTTACCATACATAGATCCCATGGGTGTTGGAAAATAGAAGAACAGGAATCCTCTGTCTGGTAGTGGTTTAACCAAAGCCTATGAAGCAGAACCAATCTACATTACAAAATCTTCAAACCACAAGTCTTTAGGCAGAATTTTATATGCCAGCAGTTCCCAACTAAGCAATCAGGAATCAAGAGTACAAGTATTTTCGTTTTCAGCAAGTGACCTCATCTAGCTGAAGACCTGCTAGATTACATGCCTACCATCAGGACACAATCAATGATTGAACAGTGCAGTGGGAAAAAAAGTCACTGGGCAAGTGACAATGTTTTTGTTGTAACACCAGCTACTCATAAAACATCCTAATGCAAGGAAATTTCTAAGAATCTGATTGGTTGGCATGAATTACATAAAACATCCTAAGGCAAGGAAATTTCTGAGTAGCTGGTGTTACAACAAAAACATTGTCACTAGCCCAGTTAACACAAGTCCCACAAAATAATGGTGTCAATAGACCATTTTACAATTAAATATAAAATGTGATTATGTTGGCAGACTATCAGGGGAATGAAATGTCACAGACTTTATACTTGCATGTCTTCCAAGCTGAGAAAACGGAGCACATGCTGCTCCTTAAAAAAAAAAAGGGCACATATCTTCACTCTGATCTATGCCATGTCTGATAGACATGGCACAAACATCACTTTAGATTGAGATGCATGCTCCAAACATTATGTCCAACACTTCCTCCCCCCTCCCTCTGTTCAGAGAGGGATGTGAGCTGTATGACAGGTCCAACCTGGCAGGGAACTGTGGAGTTTTCTGTATCGAAAACTGACGCATTCCTTTTGTGAATTAGGGGCAGACCCTGCATCAGTTTCTATACTACTTTGAAATAGACACTGGCATGGGTAGTGTAGATGGACCTGAAATACATCCATCTGCTTAAAGTTGCAAACAAACTCACATTTTCTATGCCATTAGAATGGTGCAGGAACCATTGCCAATTTCCCCTTTGTCCTTAACCCCTTCACTCCTAAGGGTAAAACAAATCTAAATGCCTAAGCACAATTCTGCAACGTTGACATGTGTTAGTAAAACCGAACATATCATCACAACTACTTTGTACATCCAGGTGAATTATACCGTGTTTTTTTTCAGGACAAATTGGGCTTTCATTTGGTTGTAACTGGTAATGGATATCTCCTGATTTTTTTTTTTTATTATCAAAGGAAAACTGGCCCAAAATAGTAAAAAAAAAAAAAAAAAAAAAAAAAAAAATTTTTTTTATTTAGCTGTGTCTCTTGATACTACTATAACATACCACCAAAGAACAACCCAAAATAAATTATCCAGCTCTTGACGATCGCAGCGATACCATATGTGTATGTTATTTGTACCCGTAGTACAGCCCGGAAACAATAGAGCGCATTTTTTTTACCTAAAACGCACGGACACCAATTTTTTTTTTTTTTTTTTTTTTTTTTTACCTAAATCCTGACTTTTGACCTTGACCCTGACACAAACAATAACCCTGGCACTGAAGTAGAGCAAACTTTGACCTAGGTATTTTTTATTTGTTAATATTTTTTTTTTTTTCTCTCTCTTTGCCAGGCGTTCGAGAGATACAATGTATCTCTTTTCTCCATTCATAGAGAGATAAAAAAAAAACAAGGGGGCCGGGCTGCACAGTGACTGATCACTGATAGCCAATCAGAGGCCATCACAGCAATCATGTGACCCGGAATTGGGAGTCCCGGGTCCCGATCTTTAGAACGGGTCCCGGGGCTCTCAGTGACACCGCGGTCTGTGTGCTGGAAGTGCACAGTGAGGCGCGCTCCCAGCACCAAGACAGGTACGGAAATATGCGGCCCCACGGAAAAAAGACCAGTTCCGTGAGGCCACATATTTGTGTGATGACGGCGTCAAGGGGTTCAACAAGGTTGGCACAGTAACTTGTCCTCTAGGACAGGACTGCTTGTTTAGGGACGACTTTCTCAAAAACCTCTAACAATTGCTAAACTTATGTCTGATACACACTTGTTAAAATGAGCTAGTGTTACACAGCTATTCTAGCTGTTGTAAAAGACAGAAGTGACAAGAGGGCACAATTTGCAAAAAAGAATATAAAAAGCCCTTACCTTACTCAGAACAGATACTTAAAGTATAAGTTCACCTTTTGTAACATGTTACACCCCTATTCAGCTCTTTAGGTAGTTAATTGCACTTCCTGTCATTGTGCAACTGCCTGCCTGTACCGAAGGCATGGACAGAGATACTCAGTCTCTGCAGGACTGTGGCATTACACCTACGATCGGATTGTGGGTGCAATGCTTTACAAGCTAACAAAAAAAAAAAATGCAGTTTTTTACCTGCAAAAAACTAGCATTTTTTGTAAAGGTGAACTTCCCCTTTAATGCCACTGCAGATTTTTCAAGGCACTGCTTAGGCACAATTAACTATTCTAGATGTTCCGTACAAAATAGCAAATTTTCCAATTACAGTATAAAGCAACTATCATAAAAGGTTAACATTTCTAATGTAATGATGACCATATAGATTACAAAACAATGACAATAGCAGAACTGCAGGGGAACCCAACAGTCCAATCTTACCAGTTTTTCTTTCTCCAGCTTTTGCAACAGTCTTTGGAAATCATTCCCAGTTCTCGTCTTGTCACACACCTCACAGAGACGACTATATATACCACCCTTCATCACTGTTATAACAAGTACCAAAAATTATCTAAATATAATGTATTAGTTCGAACAAAATGGTAAACATGTTGACAGACTAAAGCCTTTCTAAACCTTTTTGCCATGCAGAAACCATTTAAATAAATGGTCTTATGGAACCTTTGCTAAAATGTATATCGATAGCACACAGTGGAAATGAGACATGCCTAGTAAACATGTCAGTCTATACAAAATTATTTTTAGTAATATTGAGGAAATGAAACAAAATGGATATAAAACAAAACTGTAGTGCTGCCTTACATTGGTGGTAAGTGGGAGAGGTCGTACTTTATATTGGTAAACAGAGGGAAGAATATCCACTCAGTGCCCGGTCACACCGTGCGCTTTCAGGTGCGCTTTGCAAATTGAAATCGCAACTAATGAATGTGAATGTCAGGGTCTTAACATGTGCAATTTGCTGCAGAGCAATTTCTACAGTAGTTCTTGCACTACTTATTCTGCAGTTTTGTTGCGATTTCACATACATAGAATATAATAGAAATCGCACTGCAAACTGCAAGAAATCGTTGAAAATCTCCACAAGCAGCAATAAAATCTTCAGAAATCGCACTGAAATTGCACACAAATCTCGCAATTTTAAATCGCAGTGGTGTGACCGATGACTTACAGACAGCCTAAAGATCACTGTTAGTGGTTATCGATATGGGTGTCAGTGATTAAAAATAAAGATTACCGATAAAATTACCAATACTGGTGTTCATGGTTACCAGTGGAAAGAAGCTCTGCTGGTCCCACATAATAAAATTTTGCAGGCACCATTGAGCAGAAAACCAATCAGTCACCAGCTCAAAGAACTCACAGCAACCACTGGAGGAAACTCAAGGTTCAAAGGAACCCTGCATGAGGAAGGCTGGACACATTAAAAATTAAATCTAAAGTGAAATATTTACACAGAAGAAATCCACATAGAGAAAACACCTGATTGCTTGCTTAACCACTTGAGCTCCAGAAGGTTTTACCCACTTCATAACCAGGGCATTTTTGGCTTTTCAGCACTGCACTATTTTAACTGGCAACTGATTGTATATGCAGTGTACGCAAATGAAATTTATACCATTGTTTCCACACAAATCACCACTGGGTTTATTTTTATTATATAAATGAAGACTGAAAATTTTGATAAATGTAAAATATTTTGTACTTTGTTAAAAAAAAAACATAACCAAAACATGTTAAAATTAATTTTATTTAATTTCTCTTAACATACAGTTGCAAGAAAAAGTATGTGAACCCCTTGGGATTACGTGGAGTTTTGCATGAATTGGGCATAAAATGTGCTCTGAACGTCATCTAAGTCATAATAGAAGAACACAGTCTGCTGAGCATAATACTACACAAAAACATTAGATGTTGCCATGGTTTAATTGCACATAACATGTAAACATTCACAGTGCAGGGAGGAAAAAGTATGTGAACCTTTGGACTTAACTGGTTGACTCTCCTTTGGCAGCAATAACCTCAACCAAACGTTTCCTGTAGTTGCAGATCAGACCTGCACAACGATCTGAAGTAATTTTGGACCACTCCTCTTCACAAAACTGTTTCAGTGTAGCAATATTCTTGGGATGTCTGGTGTGAATCGCTCTCTTAAGGTCATGCCACAGCATTTCAATCGGGTTGAGGTCAGGACTCTGACTGGGCCACTCCAGAAGGCGTATTCTGTGCTGCTGCAGCCATTGTTTTGTTGAATTATTTGTATGCTTTGGGTCATTGTCCTGTTGCATCACCCATCCTCTGCGGAGCTTCAGTTGGCGGACAGATGGTCGTACGTTTTCCGGCAAAATGTCTTGATAAACTCTGGAATTCATTTTCCCATCAATGACAACAATCCGTCCGGGCCCTGAGGCAACAAAGCAGCCCCAAACCATGATGCTCCCTCCGCCATGTTTTACAGTGGGGATGAGGTTTTGATGTTGGTGTGCTGTGCCTTTTTTTTTCCACACATAGTGTTGTGTGTTCTTCCCAAACAACTCAATCTTGGTTTCATCTGTCCACAGTATATTTTGCCAGTAGTGCTGTGGAACATCCAGGTGCTCTTTTGCAAACTTCAAACGTGCTGCAATATTCTTTTTGGACAGCAATGGCTTCCTCCGTGGTGTCCTCCCATGTACTCCATTCTTGTTTAATGTTTTCCTTATTGTAGATGTGTCAACAAAAATGTTAGCATGTGCCAGAGATTTCTGTAGGTCTTTAGCTGACACTCTGGGATCCTTCTTTACCTCATGCAGCATTCTGCGCTGTGCTCTTGCAGTCATTTTTACAGGACGACCACACCTAGGGAGAGTAGCAACAGTGCTAAACTTTCTCCATTTGTAGACAGTCTGTCTTACCATGGACACACGTGAACATCAAGGCTTTTGGAGATACTTTTGTAACCCTTTCCAGCTTCATGCAAGTCAACAATTCTTAATCGTAGGTCTTCTGAGAGCTCTTTTCTTCTTGAAACCAGTAAACCCAAAACAGGTGTGTGTTTTTTAAGGGCAGGACAGCTGTCAGCAACACATCCAATATCATCACACTAATTGGAGTCAAGGTTGGCTCACTCCTGGCTCCAATTAGCTCTGGGAGAAGTCATTAAGCTAGGGCCTCACATACTTTTTCCTCCCTGCACTGTGAATGTTTACGTTATGTGAAATTAAACCATGGCAACATCTAATGTTTGTGTAGTATTATGTTCAGCAGACTGTGTTCTTCTATTGTTGTGACTTAGATGACGTTCAGAGCACATTTTATGCCCAATTCATGCAAAACTACACGTAATCCCAAGGGGTTCACATATACATATGTATATACATACATACACACATACATTGCTACTGGTTATACATTGATAACTGTATATAAATGCCTACAGCTAATCACGTGGTACAGGTACCATGTAATATCTGTGGGTCAATCACAGATCACAACAGTAAGCAAGCAGTTCAAGAATGGAAACCCATTCATTACAGGTTGGTTACATTGTTATGTGATCACTTCAAGCAATGAGAGCAATCACATAATTCCGATTACCAGTTACCTGTAATCTACTTTGTATAATGGACACAGCGGTCACAGGAGGGGCACAGTATGTGCTCCTAAACCAGAGCAGGCTGGATCATGTACAATTAAAAAAAAAGGAGTCATTTTGAGGGTATTTGTTCTGTCCTGGCATATTAGGGCCTCAAGACATTAGATGGGCCATCAATACATCAGGATTGAATAATTTTCAAAAATACACACACACACACAGTTTGTAGACAAGCTTTCGCACAGACTAAATATACACTGATTTTGGTTATTTTTACCAAAGAAATGTAGCATAATACATTTTGAAAAAAAAAAAAATTTTGGAAACAAATAATCTAGTAGACTAAGAAAAACCTGTCTTTTTTCATTTATATAGCAAAAGAAAAAAAAAAAACAAATAGTGATGATTATATACCACCAAAAGAAATATATATTTGTTTGGAAAAAAATGATATAAACTTTATATGAGTGAAGTGTTGCATGACCGAGCAATTGCCAGTTAAAGTAGCACAGTACTGAATAGCAAAACATGCTCTGGTCATGAAAGGGGTAAAACCTGCCGGGGATAAAGTGGTTAAAGCACATCTAAAACCCGGAAACAAATTAAATAGATTACCAATTAGATGTGAAGGTTGCATTAGTTTTCTCTTTTCAGGCTAAGAACATTTTCAGCAAGTTCAAAAATTACCCATTGATCTTGCCAGAAATACAGTTTCCTTGTCCCTTCCTGTGAAATGGAAGCACAAACGGCTTTTTCTTTCATGTGTAAACTGCTAGAGTGATCAATTCACCATGTAATGGAAGTGAACAAAGGCAGACATGTATGAAGTCCAGCCTCTGTGATCCCCATGGCTGCCTCCATAGATACAATGGAGAAATCCTTGTGTAGACACAAAAGGTACAGGAACTGTTATTTGTAAGATTAAAAAAAAGCCTATTGCAACCACCCATCTGAGAACTGGAAAGCTGCTTTACATTTTTGTTTTTTAGATGCATTTTAGATATACATGAATAGCTGTGTAATTGTGGTACACAGAAACTTCCCTGTATGAAGCTAACACAGTTAGACACAGGCTATAGAAAGCCCTGCACTGGACACTGTTACACGGTGTTGTCCTATATCCCCAAAAGCTTGTTCACCCATACTGCGGTGACCTGCATCAAATCAAAGCAGGTGACCACTAGGGGACATAGAACACAGTTGTATTCTGTGTGCCCGGTCCACACCACAATGCCTGTGCATGTGATGTGCCAATGCAAGGCAGCGCTCCTCACTGGTGCTACATAGTGGACTCCAGCCTTGCACTAAAATGATCTGTTTTAGCATGAGGCCGCTCTGATGTGTAAACGTACCCTTAATGTGACTGACATAACCTCCCCAGCACACACTACCACACAATCTATAAAAAACACAAATAAGCAAAAATATTTTTTTTTAGATACATTAGCTTTTCTAAATGAAGGCATAAACAAGTGTCAATAACCCATTTTATATTCAGACAATTTGCAGACATGTGCACAGAAGCTTTGCAGTACCTTATTGTACTGTAAACATACCTTCTTTGTGCTGCTTATGAGTTTCTTTGTAGAACAGTAATGATGGAATCCGCTTTTTAATCTGCTCCAGCCGCATTAGGATTTCCAAATCGAGCTTCTCTGGTCTATGTACAAAACATCACATCAAGATTTACATATAATTACACATTGCACCAAGCTGAACACAAAAAAAGTCTATTAAGTTAAACCCCTCAAAGTCCAGTTTTGCTCCAGCAAACCACCTTTTTCAGGACCAAATATACTTACTGATCAAAAGGCAATCACTCCAATCCACTTAATAAAAGGCACTGCCATACAATCAACTGAAACCTATAAATTGTAATATAGGCCATTTCATGATTTAATGCTATAACACATTACCTCTCCAATGCAATCCGTAGCCAGCTGTGAACTGGAAAATGAAGACATGTAGAGAATGCCCAAAACATTCTAGTGGTATAGAACTCTAAGGCAACTATAAGTGGAAACGTATAAGGACAACTGATATAGCCAAGTTTCCATTGGTAATTACCTTACAATTCTGTCTTGCCAATTCACACAGTGTTATCCAAGGGGAAGACTCAAATCTCTGAAACACATTGGTTGTTTTACCTGTAACCAAAAACATTGGTTCCAGCTCATGCAATGGGTTCACAGGGTTCTCCCTGTAGTTTTTGTTACCACGTTTTGAAGATTTTGCTACTTAGGTTGCAGGAAGTAACGCCTTCCTATGCAAGTGGTAAAACTTCCTTTCCATAGTATTTGTTGATGTTTGCCTTTGTATGATCCCCAGAAAAAAAAAAATAATGTAATTTGTTAAATCTACATGCTGACACTGGATATATTTATATATTGAACTACCATTTCTTTTCATAGAGTAAACAATACCTCTTAATAACCTTTCATAATAAGTGGAACCTTCTATAACCCTTCATTAAACTTGGTTGCCCCCTTTTAGACTGCCTTATAAACTTATGATTGTTTATAGTGCAATATCAAAACTGCCCCCCTGTTCAAGATGTGGCCTTACAACTTATTTCTACAGGGCAATTCTATACATCTTGTATAATACAGCTCCAGCTTAATTTTAGAGTGGTTCTAAATCAAAAGGTTTTACCTTAATGCATTCTATACATTAAGGTAGAAAATTCCCCACTACCGATCCTTCCCATCCCCAAACACTCACCTGACGCCTGTCACCGATCCAGTGCTGTCTTGGCAACAACACTGCTTCTCACCTCCTGGTCTCACAAGAGACAGCAGCGAGAGCCTTAGGCTCCTGCTGCGGTCAAACTGAGGAGAGGGAGAGGGGTGTGGGTTACCAGCACTGTGGGTCTTTGGATGCACAGAGCTCATCTCAGGAGCATGCACAAACGGGTGCTCTTAGCACCCAGCTTGCTAAGAGGGCACCTGGAGGAAAAAAGCAGACCGTGCTGGCGAACAACCATCACAAATTAGGTAAGGGCTTGTTGACTTATGAGGGGTTTATGTATAATCTTCATCAGCAACTGTAAATAGATATTTTTCTAACTATATGTTAACCAAGTTACAAAGCTGGAAATATCAGAGCTTGGTTTGATAGCGGTGTGTACATAGACATTGAAACAAGTGATCATGTTGTAGAGATAGCTTTGTATTGTATTGGAGGAATGTTTGGTGTGTAAACATGTGCATGCCACAAGGAATGTTCTATTATGTGAGAGGGGGCAACCACTAAATTAACCTACCTTATCTCAGACTTTATGGGGCCCACATAACGATCTAGACCAGGCCATTTAAATCTCTTTGTTGGTATGAGGGCCACTTCAAAGTACCCTCTATTTAGATATGCAATGGTGATGGCTATCTGCGGAATGTAGTTTTACCAGGCTATGACCTAAGGTTCCCTCCAAACTCTCAATAATGGAGGGAATTTTGAGGAGAAAGCCTGAATCCAGATGCCTCGGTGCCATGACCTGGCATATGTAATTTTATCACTAAAAGGGGAGGCTCTGGGATGGGGCTGAGTTATGTAAGCGATATGGGATGGGGAAACTGTCCAATCCTGGATGAGATGCGTCAGATATGGAAGATGGATTGGATAGTTCTACCAATCGGGATGGCCCCATGCAAGTCTATGGGAGATAAGTGTATGTCAAGGTAGGTTTTGGAGGAAGACAGGAGAGAAGATCCACCGATCCTGGGGGCCCCCATGCTACACCATTGGTAAATATCAGGACATTTCTCTGGCACTTATATATCATATATATATATATATATCATGTATACATGATTGTCGTATGTGTTGTCTGTCTTGCTGTTTGTGGGTTTAGGGTATGAATAGCATATGCTTTAATTCATTGGTTGAATCATATACATTTTGTTTCTCTTTTTCTTATTGTTAAATAGATAGATTGTGGTATGTTAGTTTAGACCTCCCTACTATTCACCAATAAATTTTGGTTGTTGTGTTAAACCTTTCACTCTTGGTCAAAGAACTCTCATTAAGGTTAACCAAATCATATCAGAGAAATATTATATTTCATATTCCATAGATTTGGTCAACAGGGCTTACCTTGCAATAATATAAAAGTAACCTTTAGCATCACTAAGTTATAGAGAGCAGAAGAGTCATAACGTCTGTCAGGTTTGTGAGGTTTTGTTTTCCTGTCACTAATTGTTCAATAACATAGGACTGCGACTAAAAAGCTGTTTGATTATTTTCATCTAATTTCCATGTATTTTGGTGTACTGAAAACAAAAAGTATTGAAAAAACTCCTAGACGTCATGATTTGCCACAAAATGCAAAATTGTCTTCAAATTTATCAAATTTTTTTAATTTTTTTTATATATTATGGGTTTTTAACCAAATTTAAAGTCCAAAATACTATTAATTAATTCACATAAGTGCATTTAAGATACAGAATGCCAAAAAACCCATAAAGGGGTTGTCTGAGTTATGTAAAAAAAAATATAGCACTGTAAATCTGATAGTCAGCAATATATACATAAGCTAAGCAAGTTTTAGGGGAAAAAAAGTTCTATTTCCTCATTTCCCTAGTTCTCTTCTGGCCCTTTGTTGTTATTTGCAGGTAAACAATCTCTGCCCCTGCCCCCTGCAAAGGGGGTGAATACAAGTGCTGCTCTGAGTGACATGTCTGACTACTGGGATATTTAGCAGCGTGCTGTATGTGTAAGCCTCAGCCCTGAGTCTGTGCTTCTAATGGTAGAAGGGGTTAATCTTTCCTGAAGAATCCAGTGGGTGGGATACCAAACACCCTTGGTTTCTGTGTCTATGGGACAGTCGAGACCGACAAAATCACTGGACCAAGAAGAGTTGGCAGCCGAGGGTGCTAACAGTCGGTGAAAAAAATGTCCTCCTAGAAACTTTGGTACCTTCCCATAAAGTTCTTCTACCACCTCTCCACATAAAATTGGGATTGATGAAGCAATTCGTAAAATCACTTCCAAGAGATGGAGAATGCTTCAAATACTTGGTCACCAAGTTTCCAGGCCTGTCGGAGGCAAAATTGAAGGAAGGTGTGTTCGTCAGACCAGACATTAGAAGGCTTATAGTTGATCAAGAGTTTGTCAATACCATGACGGATCCTCAAAAAAGAAGGGTGGATTGCATTTAAAGAAGTCGTACAGAAATTTTTAGGCAATAAAAGATCCTCACTACAAAAAGATCATCGGACGAATGCTGAAAGCATTTCAAGCTTTAGGTTGCCTGATGAGTTTGAAAGTGCATTTCCTCCAGTCCCACCTTGACTACTTTCCTGAAAATTTGGGAGCTGTGAGTGAGGAACAAGGTGAATGATTCCACCAAGACATTAAAGAGATGGAAAGGAGATACCAGGGAAAATGAAGCATTACAATGATGGCAGACTACTGTTGGATGCTTCAGAGAGACATTCCAGATGCTACTCACAAGCGTAAATGCACCAAGAGGAGCCTTACAGGGAAGAAGAATCGTGTTTAGTGTGTGTAGGTGAGCTCATTTCAGTTCAAAAAAGGATTTTCATGAAAAAATTGTAATAAAACTTTAATTTTATAAGTCTATTTCCATTTATTTTGAGGTATTGCCTTATTTAACATATTTACCTAAATTGTCAGGAAACGTAATGTCCTATGACAAAATGGAGGTCATTTTCGGATTCAGCGCACCACAAAACAAAGATTACGTGGAATAACCAAAACAGCTCTTGAAAAAAATTTTTTTTTGCAGACCTGTGTAATCACGGGACATGAAGCAAGGAAAAAAAATTCTCCCACGGTAAATCAGAGAACAACACAATTTTAGTAGTATGCAGCAGAAATGCAAAAGAACAACAAATCTTTAGAGGTTCCAACCTTTAACTTCCATGTTAATCAAAACAAAAAAAAATTAGCTGAAGTTAATGATATAGTATTAAAGTAAATGTGAACCCTCATCTTGTAAAACCACCCATTCAGTTTAAAATAGAATTGAAAGGGAAACATTTGTGTACAGAGTTGGAGGTGAAGACTAGAAGGGGGCGTGTCAGCAAGAGGCAGAGAAACCAGTCTACTGATCTTCCCAGTGAATGGCTGTGAAAGAGGGTGTGTCAGCACAAGCCTGGCCATTAGAGTACAGACAGGCTGTGCTCCTAACACAGCTACAAAAATGAATACTCTGGGATGATGTGCTTTCACGCTTCGCGTGGTCCGTTTGGAACAGAAAAACAGGGGGGACTGGCAAGATTACCAATTATTTCACACAAAGTAAGTAATGCAAGAGAACAGGATGCTTTTTAACACAAGTATATGGTATAGACAGCAGGAATATGAACTGTTGGGTAACATACAGTTTAAACGTTTGCCCTATATCAAACAGTCAATGTACTCACAATTTGTATGGCAAAAAAATGCCATTCGTTGATTTCAGAGAAGCAAAGCACAAGAGTTTTCCATTACATAATAGTTGTCCTCTCCACAATATAAAACCATTTCGGTCTGCTAAAAGTAAACAAGCACAGCCATCAACAAACATTATACAAATATTTTTAAAAATACTTAAATTATTTATGAGAATAAAATTAACTTATCACAGTGAGTTAACTAGTCAAATAGCCAACTGCCAGCTAGAGCATTCAAACATGATTGCTTGTATTTCTAACTATTTCAACGCCACCTGGGAAGTCACCAGTCCTCAAGTGACGTGTCCCAGACCCCCTTGGCAGACATATCAGAAGTCTAGGTACATGCTTGCGAACTTCCAATTAGCGGCCAAGGTTATTCCTATGATTTCCAACCTTCAGTGGTACAAAGTACAACTTTCTATATGCTAAAGATTGTCCTGCATCTCTCACGGAGGAAATAATTTAAACCTGTAGCCAATAATCATCATACACGTAGTAGCTGCTCAAGTTACCATCACACAAATCTGTTTTCATGTTAGCCAGAGCAGCAGAGGCAGGTGAGAAACTTGGCGTGGAGAGTACCTGTAGACTCCAACATGCACCTGAAAAGCAACCCTCTGGCTCCAGCATGGTGGGTGATCTCCCTAGCCTATGAGGCAGTACTAGGCTACCTCTATATCTTCAAATCAATGGACATTTATCTCTATACATATGGTGATATTATATTGCAAAACAATCATGAAACACCAATACAATGCAAGAATATTTCCCTTTTTTACCCCAAGGCATTAAGGAAAAAGGTCATGTTCCATTTTTCAATTAGGACCACTGCAACCACATTCAGCTTCATGAAAAAGTTAAGTTCAGCCCAGTATTACCATTATTTCTAACATGATAAAGGTTGCCTACAGAATTTGAGATTGCACTGAACACAACAGCACTGGATGCAGACTGAAATAAGGAGTTAAAATTCTCACACCATTTATGATGTCATTTCCCTAAAGGATTTAAAGGTTAAAGTAGAAAGTAGGACTTTTTTTTAAATGATACATGTGTGCAGATCAAATAAACTACAGAATTTTCCCTTTTGAGCCACACAACACAAATCCCTTCATATTTTTATACATTTAAATGAAAATACCTACCATTGTATCGATCTGAGCTGAAGGTTACCGGCCTATTAAAATCAAAAAGAAATTCAGTTAAAAATGTACTTTACTTTCAAACCGATGTCTTGTGACAGATCCTGACCTGAGTCATTAAATATCAGTTGCAGGTATGTCAAACTAAAAACATGCTACACGAGCACTACTAGCCAAACCCATTAGCTAAAACCTCATGCCTGGAAACACTGTTCTCACACCAAAGAAAAGAAAAAAAAGTTTACATTCTGACACAAGATTTCCCAATGCATTTAGTAAAAAAACTACAGTATTAAAACAAAAACTATTTGCATTTGCAAAGTAATTATATCTTCTAAATCCCTGGTGCCCAGTCTATGCCCTGAAGGATATCTGCAGCCCTCTGGTACTTGTGTGGCCCTTGTACACCAGCGGTCTGTAGTTGGGAGTGACAGCACCGATTTGTAGTAGCAGTGATCTCAACTAATCTCATGTAAATAAGTTCTCAGTCTCCAACTGTCTTCTGAAACATGTCTCCAATCTCTGACCATCATTTCCTTTAGTATGTCTGCAGTCTACAAATAGCACTCTAAGTAGTACACAGTGGAGGACAGACCATTTGGAAACTTGGGCACTGTCCGAGGGCCTGGGGTCAGTAGGAGGCCCCATGAGATGCCCTGGTACCTTTTTCATAGGCTTTTTTGAGTTTGGGCAAGGACACAGGGGCCCCATGATCCCCTATTGCCCGGGGGCCCCATGAGTTGTCAGTCTGCCCCTGGTAGTACATATACTAAATATGTGAGGTCTTTTGATGTCAGGAACACAGAGGCCTTCTATAGCTTGCAAGTTGACTAAATACACAACTATTACATCAAATGTATTATTCAAGGTTTAATGTTAACATTTAAAGCAATTCTTCAAAAATTAAAACCGTACAATAAAGGGTTTCCATACAATTAAAAAAAAAAAAAAAACACTGCCTGAAAGTCCTGCTGGATGCTGGGCTTCCTCACAGCAGCCCCTACAGACACTGTAGTGGCAAAGTGTCCAGCAGAACAAACCACTGAGTGCAATTTGCAACCAGGAAAAAGTTTTACAATACTAAGAGAACGTACAGTACAGCAAGATGAAATATCCAAATTCACACTGCAACACTTACCCTGGCATAGGTGACAAAGGTGACAACGACGGCCTTGGCGCAGGCTGTTCAGTCTTATAACTAAATGACACAACCGCATATGGACACACATGTCGAGGTCTCTTGAGAATCTCATCAAAGCCGTACTCATAGAAGTAATACTAAAAAAACAGGTAACATTAAAGCCACATTCTTATAGTAGAAAACCATATATAACAGCTGGGCATTGTGAAGGTAATAAATGGAGAGTTTTGGTTATATTGCAGCACTAAACATTCATGTCTATTGGTGCAATCTGTTAGGATACAAAGCTTTATAAAGTATTTAGTATAGTATACGAAGTTAATTTACAATCTTTCATCTAGCAGGAGAATGAACACAAAAACCTGCAGCAGTGTTATAATTGTGTCTACAGATATATGATGCCACTGTTGCTATGTGTGGGTATTAAAAACCATCCTTTTGCTCCCACGTGTGTTACGAGGGTGGCAACAGGTTAATATCTCAAATATATATATTGTATCTATTTTCTGGAAGTACATATTTTGAGGCCTGCGTGAGCTTCTCTTTGCTAACAAATGTGAATGCTGTACATATCAAAAGCTGTGCTGTTGTGTTCAATCTCTGCTTCCTGCATAATAAAACTTCCAACACAGGATGTCCCAGTATAATCAGCAGCTGTGTTTTAAGGATCACAAGATCTTAAACAAAAAGCAGTGGGGCGAACAGTACAGTAAAGTCTAGAAGTAAATCTCCATCAGCATGTAGGCTATGCTCCCTGCGTGCACCTCGAGCTTTACTTATCGAACGTACCTTTAATCCATACTGGCAAAAATTAAATGCTAACCCTACCTGCGTGCGTTCAAATGCCCTGTAACTCAGGAGCGAAATGACAGCATTCATGTTCTTTAAGATGTGGCATTCATGCTTCGGAGCAGGATCCAAACTACCATTACCAAGATGTGCATCCTGGTTACTTCTAAAGTTATCATACACAAATTTCATTTTTCCCTAAAAAAATAAAAAAAAAATACAAGTCTTTAGTCCAAGCATAACACAAGCCTTGATCAATGAACCACATAACTGTAGCTAAAGGTAGCAATCCAAGTACAGCACTACAATTATGTTAAAAAGTCAATGCAACTGTTACTGGCTAATAAAATCTTATTAAAAGTATGTAAACCCCAACAATGAACTTCACATTTGCTTCCATTTGGTCTGTTAAATATATCACTGAATGCATGTTAAATCTGATTAGTGCAAAAAAAAAAAAAAATTAAAAAACAAAACACTCCTGTGAACTCTTATCTCATGCATTCTAATCCACTCATCCTAGCTCATTTAAGCTGGTTATAGAGGATTGAATCTCAGCCGGTTCAACAAGGACCGGCAAAGATTAAATCCATCTATGGGCAGGCTGTTTGTACCCAAGTTGATCCATTGATTGACTTGGGTACAACTAGCATTTCGGATTTTTCACATGCTATTATTGCCAGTGGCTACAGCCACTAGCAGTAACCATTGTGTTCTCCCACAGGGGAGGAGTCGTCCCTGCTGGGAGAATACAATTGCTTCGTGGGAAAGATATGTCAAAAAAAAAAAAAAAAAAAAGTACAAAAAAAAAAAATTTGATACCTTGGTTTGTAAGTCCTGTTGTGGGTTTACAAGATAATGCCTTTACTTAACCAAAATGTTAAGTAATGGTGTCAATACTATCCAGTTGTCTTCAGAGGTACAAAATATTTCCTCTCATCTCCAAGCAACACAAATGCTCTGCCCTGCCAACAGAGTTTGACTGCCCTGCGCAAACCCAATCAGTTTGGGTTTCTTACATTAAAAAAAAATTCAGAAGTGCAATATAGCCCAATATATGTCCCTGACAAGTGGTTGAAAAGTGTTGGGCAGGGCTATTCATTGTGACATTTCCACCTACATCACTTCTGGTCTGTGGAACACACGGAAAGAGTAAGAAGGAACTGGGCCAGTTGTAGAAATGTTAGAGTCCACAAACTACGATATATCTCTGAAAATCGATCAATCCTTTTGCACTGATGGACTATTTTTTGAGGCCCAAAAATGTCAGGACGGTATAGATATTACCCAAATTACCCCTTTTTTGAAAGTATAATGTCTGAGGTATTTAGTAAGAGGCATGGCGAGTTTTTTTAAATTTGTCATAACTTTGTGGAAAATCAAGTTAATAAAAAAAAAACAAATTCACTATTTACATACCGGTCACCAGTGCAGTACTGCGTTATCATAATTGCCGTGGAGGTGATCAGGCACACTGACTTGTGACAGTACAAAAAAAAAAGCAAATTTCTTTTACATTTTTTGAATGACTTTTTTTTTTTTTTTTTTTAAACACACCACAGTGATGTTACAATTTTAACATTGTACTACTCTAAGGAAGTGATCAGTTTTTTTTTTTCTTCACATAATGATTGCTTGTAGCAATGAATTTCATGTTGAGGGTTAGTTCTCCAAGATGTTTGGAACAACCTACCTGCCAACTTCCTTCAAACACTGTGTGCAAGTGTTCATAGAAGAACTGATGCTGCTTGGAAGGCAAAGGGTGGTCACACCAAATATGGATTTATTTGTTAATTTACTTTGTTTTGTAAATTGATAATAAAACTATTAACACTTCCATTTCTGAAAGCATTAATTTACTCATTACATTCACACACCTGTCTAAAACTTTTGCACAGTGGTGCATATACCAGGAAACAGGAATAACCCATCCTACTCCCAGCATGCACTTTGGAGGAAAAGCAGTTTCAGTAACAGAATAGGGGTGGGATTGTGCCCATCCATGAACATCAAGAAATGGACTGTACGATAAGTTAAAAAAAAAAAAATATCCCGTTATCACTCTTGTTCATTGAAGGACAGGAGTATTTAGAGTCTGTTGGGACATTCAAAAGCAGTCAAATTGAAGGTTGGGCAACAGCAAGAAAAAAACAAAGCACTGGTTCACACTGAATGCGGTTTTGAAATTGCACTACATCAGCTAAAGTAGCGCAATTTCCAAGTTGCCTGTTGGTGCAATTTCACATGCGGCTTCATGCAAAGAGGTCAATGCAGGTAGCACATGAAATAGCCACAAATAGTGCAGGAATTTAAAAAAAAAAAAAAAGTCTTCGTTGAACCGATTTGAACAGTTCCATAGGGTGCCACTTGTCATGTGATTTTGAACTGTCAAAAAACATTGGTGTGAACCAGGACTATGTCCCACAAGAAAACAGAACAGCCTGCAGCTAGAGCCACCTAAAGGATTATACGCTGGAAGCTGGCATCAGGTGAGGTCCAAATATTCACATGGTAAAACTTGAAAAATATGTGAACAGAAAACGAGGTAGCAGCCTTGGAAATTTGGGAGCAGTAACCCGATTTGGAAAGGCCCAACAAGTAGACAGCGACCTAGTAGAGTGCCTCTTGACAGAAAAGGGTGCAACCCAAACCATAAGCTTGAGTATGTAAACCCAACATTTCATATTCCTGATATGTGCCTGTTGTACTATGTGCTTTCATGAAAAAGGTTCCTGTTCTTTTTGTATAGTTTCCTTTGCGTGAAATACCTGCCAGTCCCTCTGCTTTCCTATTAAAAGCTGACCACAATAGGCATGAGAGCACAGAATAGTCAGTTTTCTGGCTGTGCTGGGAGCTAATCCAATGATCAGCTGACACCTCCCCCTGCACAGCCATTCACTGGGAAGATTAGTGTACTGCTGTGTCTCCTCCCTGAGCTCCTTATGTAGCTGAGAACAGAGGGTATGTGATCACTAAAAAAAAAAAAAAAAAAAAAAAAAAAAAAAATCTTTTTTTTTTTTTTCTTTATAAGTACACACAAATGTTTTGTCTTTCATTTCTACTTTAAACTGAATAGGATGTTTTACAAAGTGAGAGTTTACATATCCTTTAAATGAAGTGCTTAAGCCACCAAGAAATGGTGGAGGAGAAAAAAAGCTGATTTCAATTTACAGGGACCATCGGGAATGACAAAATATATTTTTCTAATGGATGCAGTGGCTGTAAGGCAGACAAGCACATCACTATATCCAGGCAATTAAGGGAAATCTGATTAACTGGATCAGGATAGAGGATCAGAAAAGATGTCCTGGTTGAAGTGTAAGGCCTTGGGAAGTAAGACAGTTCTAAGGCTCAACATGAAGGCAAGCCATAGATTAAATCAATTCTCTTTCCACCACACATGGAAGGAAAGAAAATCACTTGCTCGAATGACTCCTGTAGCGCTATGTGTTCTGCTGGCAGGAAGTCTTCCCGGTCGGCAGAACACGATTACTGTTGGCGGCTATAGCTGCTAGTAGTAAACACAAGCTAAAAATCCAAAAGCTGGTTGTACTGAAGTCAATTGATGGATTGACTTGGGCACAGTCAGTCAGCCAATATATGGATCAAATCTCAGCCTGATCCTGCTGAACCGGCCAAGATTTGATTAATCTGTGACTGGCTTAACTTATCTCTGGTACAACGCCAGAAAGTTTATTATAGACAGCTGCCAGCTCATGGAAGAAAAAAAGCAAGCGAATGCCTGAGCTCCTGCGCTGGACAATGGACTCCACAATGTCAATATCGCCACATGTATATGAAAAGAACGCAAGCCTTACAGCTCTCAACGGACCAGGGAAATCCAAAGAGAACTGTATATAAAGAGACAAAAAGAGGACATACAGGCCTAGTGCATTACCTATAAAGATATTTATTGATAAAAAGTAAAATACTCACAAGAGAAATAAAATCAAATGGAAAGCATGTCACAAGGTATGCAATGTGGTCCAAAACCCCTGAAAGTAGTCTGGAAACTCTGTTGTGGTGGAAGAGATGCCCCTATGCTCTCACACCACTCTGCTATCCAGCAAAGTTCTTCCTGTGAAAGAACCTGCATGCTACAAACCCCAGGAGCCGTACATCTGTTCTTCCATCTAGGGCAGGATCTGCAGACATCCCCGCTGTACTGATCTCAGGTTCTCGGTTTACAATCACAGCGTTTGCAGCACTGCCAGTTCTCTTCCTGAGCCTGTCAAACATTGGCAGCAATACAACTATATAACCTGCGCCCATCAGCTACTTCACAGCTTTCACCAGCCTGCCCTACACCAACCAGGTGTTTTTCTAAGTTCACATACTTGCATAACTTTCCAGTCCAGTGCTCACCCAAGACTGCTGGTTTAATAACAATATTTTTATTAAGTTTTAATATACCCTACTTTTTGGTGGTCCCAGTTTCTCATGTGGCCCCTTAGAAAAATTATTGCCCACACCTGCCCTTCATGGTACTCAGGGCCAAATGCTGACCTGGCCCAACTACACAATCGCCAGGATTCATCCCACAGAGGATTTCAGGGATGAAAACTGCTTTCCTCGCACCAGGCAAAGAACACCTTTCAATGATTTTGAACTTGCCTAGGTATATGCTGCATTCTGACCTAATCAGACTTATGGCAGATGTGCCATACTCTTCCACATCATCCGGATTTTCTGTCCCAGGGACCAATTTACCATTCTGTTTCATGGTTGCGGGATTTGAACGGCAAAGCTGTTGAAGCCCAGGTCAAAAAAACAAAAAAAGAAGTAGAGTGCTTAGATCTTTCATCCATCAGTTGGTATTAGTTGTGCTTCAAGAGTTAATCTCAGCAGCTCTATCACAAAGCATGAGGCCCCCTCCAAGGACAATGGTCTCCCAAACTGAAAAATCCATGTAAAATGGAGAAAAAAGCCACCAGGTATTTACAGTTAACAATATGATAAAAGGAATTTAAACGTTAACCAACCCGTTTCGTGGGGCAATTACCCATTATCAGAGCTTGGATAAGTATGTCCAATACATGTACACTGTGACCAATAATGCTCCTTCCCTGACAGGTCATCTCCCAGGAGTTTAGACAGAATCATATAGGATTTGATTGGCCTCCAGAAGCATTGAAAAGCCCTGTATCATCCGTTAAAGGGCAGTGGGGTCCAGAAACATTCTCCAAAGCTAGTGCTGAAGAGCTGCTGATCCAAGTCTTGATTGATAAAAAAATCTTGATTGATGAAAAAGGGTTGGCTTTTCTCAGTAGAAAAAAAGATGTTCATCCTCCTAGGACACAAACTGAGGCTTGCTGGGAGTATGCAAGGCTGGCCACTGTTTGCCAATGTCCAAATCCTCCTGAAAGTGGCAGCATAATCCAATAGTCTCTGAATATCGATGTCTTTGAATAAAATTTTACCCATCACAGTGGACAACACCACAATGACCTTTGAGAACTGCACCCCATCTGGGGATTATTTCCCTGGACCTATACAGCACCTCACAGGTCTGCAAGGCAATATATCCCACTTTGCAGGGTCAACATTACCAGGCCATCCCAGTGTTTCCAGGGCAGGTTCCAGGTACCATTCCCGAGTGTACAAAAGCCACATAAAATGGATCCAGAAAAGGCCAATCTCCTAATCCCCAGATGGAACAATTGAGAAGCTAGAGAGAAGTCATGTGTATGCAGAGACTGCATACACATGACTATTACATAAGCCATTAGCAAAAAACAAACCTTGTCTAACACAAGGGGGTTATGCCTGGGAGTTTACAACCTGCCTTTTTGTCAGTGTCCAATCAGCTGAAGGTGGCAGCATAACCCTATTGTAATAGAGATGAAAATAGCCTGTATCTTAGGATGTACAATAAAGAAAACTGATGGGTTCAACTATTCTATCCATATCTAGCTATAAGAAATAGCACTATTCGGAAGGTGAAGGCACAACCATTTTGCTGAATACATCTAAAACGATGTATTTACTATGGAAAATGGTGGTCTCTGATTAGGTAAAGGCATGCTTGTTCCAAGGATTAAGTACACTTAGTTTGACACCAAAATAACACTAAGCAGGAGCCATGAAGTCAAAACAGCATTCAGCCAGTATAACTGTACATTTATATACTTTAAAAGTTATTTTACCTTGGTAACTTTAAATATGAAAACCGTGCCTGTTGCACCAGCCTCCAAAGGGTTGGTCTGCAGTAAGTCAGCAAACTTGGATAAGTACACCCCTGCAGGAAAAACAGTATAAAACAAATTAAACAACTAAAACAAAAACGTGAATTTTGCTCTTCTACAAAAACCATTTCGCATTTCTCATCATAAAAATGCTGCAGATATTCGGACTGCACAGCTGCACAATTTAATGATGCTGCACATCAGAACAGCCTAAAAGTGTTCAGAAAAAGTGAACATGTGTAAGATGTGCCCTTTTTGGTACACAGACTAAATTCATGTGCCAAGTGAACCATGGCATAAACATGCATGCAATTGTGCCACAAAGGGAAACAGCACAGTTATCAGCTCTTAACATTATTGAATGTTTGCACTGGGTTACAAGAAGGCCATTTCAAACAGCACTCTGCTCATAAAGCGGTTTATACTTACAATACTGGAATATATGTATGTAGTACCTTGCCTCGGCAGAAAAGCTAGTTTCTAATTTTGCGCAGCATATCTGGGGAACATTAACTAGTTAACATGCAACATTTTGCTTTAGCTCTATTGTTGCCAGGCTAACTCAGTAATAAAAACCAACACATCCCAGATGGCTTTACTTCTTGGGGAAGCAAATGTCTGAACTTGCAGTATTGTGTAAGGCTCAATTTGATTCGGAAAAAAAAAAAAAAGAAAAAAAAAAAATACACCCAGCCCCCACTCCCAGGCTCCTCCATACAACAATGTCCCCAGGTATATATTTACCTTCTCCAATGGCTGCAGCCTCCTGCAGTGTACAACCCTGCCAGTAAAAATCTTGCTTCTTTGGGGCTTGTTCATATCATACGTGCATAAAAACTGGTAAAACCACACCGATTTCACTTGCAGAAACATTGGTTCATATCAGTTTTCATACGCGGACTGACATCAGAAACTCCTCAGTTCCCCCTCATTTCAAACTCCTCAGAGCCCTCACACTAGAACCCCTCATCTGTCTCCCACCAATGTTCTCCACCATTAGGGCCTCCTCATCTGTCCCCCGCCATCAGTGCCCCCTCATCTGTCCCCCGCCATCAGTGCCCCCTCATCTGTCCCCCGCCATCAGTGCCCCCTCATCTGTCCCCCGCCATCAGTGCCCCCTCATCTGTCCCCCGCCATCAGTGCCCCCTCATCTGTCCCCCGCCATCAGTGCCCCCTCATCTGTCCCCCACCATTCGTGTCCTTCACCTGTCCTACATCATTTGTATCCTTTCAGCTGTCCCCACGATCACTGTCAGCAACATCCCACCTTCCACCATTACAGACCCGGTGGCAGCATGATCCCAGCCAGCATCCAACAGTAGGGAGGGAAGGTAAGAAGGCAGTACAGACAGAGAATCACTCTGCTTTCCCTCTCACTTTGTCACACTGGGTGAAAGAAGAGCAGTGCTGTCCATTTTGCCTGCATTCAATTGAGGAGCTGTGACATGTAGCATAATCCCACACAGCTCCGCACCAGACATCACACTTGCGTTTTGGTGTGAACAAGACACATAGGAACCATTGTTTCCTGTCTATCTCACAGAGACCTGCGGATTTCTTGTGCAGAAAAATGTAGGTCTCTGCAGATGGTGTGTACAAGCCCTCACTCTAAAGTCAGACGTGAATGGGACATTGTTCTTGCTGTATTGGTACGTCCCAATCAAGTCAATGGGGTTAGTGCTCAGGTGCAAAGTAGGTCATGGGTAAGAATGGACCGAACCGGGGTGGGAAATGGCAATGCAGATGTGTATTGAGGGGGGGGCAAGGGGGGGGGATTTTTGTAAATATGTACTTTAAGGTATACCACTGACAACTTAAACTTCAGCCAACTGTAACCTAATAACTCAATCCAGCAGGGAACAGTACCAATTAGTACCAACTAAACACTAGATCCTGGGTTAAAGTGCCAAGGAAGCTTACATCTGTTTGATCTGCAGTTACCACGATATTATACATGTGATCCATTTTGACACCAGCCATTCATTTTATGACTTTACATTTTGGTTGAGAGAACAATCATTCCTGGCACTTTACAGCAGACCTTAAATATAACCATTTCTGGAAAGGTTTCCCCAATGGGTTTTGTTACACTAAGTTAGAGTGGCTGTAAACCTCAAATGAAATATGAACAAAGCATATCCCATCCCTCTATAGTGTGTACTTGTCTAACTTAAGAGCACTAAGTGTCATTTCTGTCAGCTGCTCTGTTCCTCTGCTATCAGCATGAATTACTTTTTGACAAGTTTTCCTGACAGCAAGAGAAAAATGGTCACACAAGAGGGACCTTCAGCAAACTGACAGCCTGTTCCAGAGAAGCTCTGTTCCTGTGTGGAGGGTGTGTGTCTCTTCCCTCCAATCAGATCTCAGCTCTCCGGAGTTCTGCAGAGTGTAATTTCAGCTCTCCGCCTATTTTTTCTGAACTCTGGGTATGATGATCTGCAGAAACAAACTGTCTTCAAATAGAAGAAAAGGCTAACAAACTGACATTTAAATATGGCTCATGTCCCAGAGAAGAGGAGGATCTGAGCTGCTCTGTGCAAAACCACTGCACAAAGCAGGTAAGTATATACATGTTTATTATTTTGTATTTAAATAAATAAGCCTATAGAAACACTGTAAAGGTCTGTTTGTAGTTAGCCTTTTCTTGCCACTAACTTTAGAAAAACATTTAAAAAACTTTTAGGAAAACACATCCCTTTTTCACAATGAATGAAATGAATGAACATAGTGCTGTATATTACTGTGAACAAGAAACTCACCCATAGAGGGTTTTCCAAGTGTAGTAAGCCTTGAATGTCCCACAAGTAATCCTCTCTCACATATATTATTCACCTAATGGATAAAGCAACATCTGTGTTCACTAGTTATCAATTCAATGTTCCACAGCACTATAAACGCTCAGTTTCCTAAAGAAATTAACTAAAATTTTAACATATGTAAATAATTGTGCTAATCTTTTAAAAAAAAAACAATTCCCCTTAATTTTACATTTCTGCAGGTTCTTGGACACAGGCGTTTCCACTGTATTGTCACTGCTTCAGCCAGCTTCCATTGTAATACAAAAGGGACTTTCAGCAATTCAGTCACAACAATGTGTTAACTACTCCATAATAATGGTAAAAGGACCTTCACATCACAGGGGTAAATGCAGGTTACTAGTAAAGCTTAGATATTGCTACAGATTATTCGTCTCAAAACTTTACTGATTTTCTAAAGGTTACACAATTATTCTTTCAGTACAAGAAACAAAAAAACTAAATGCTGCAGAGCCACATGTTCTGGTTCATACCTGACCTGCATCCATTCATCAGCATTGCAGTAGCTCACACAGCCTTCTGATCCTCTAAACATATGACTGGACTATAGGTAATCACATATGACTCAGGGGTCTGTATTTCAAGTCTTTATTGGAAGACAGCACAAAGATAATGAACGATATTCTCTCATTTTTTTTACATGCATGTCAGAAGGCATGAGAAAAAGGGTTTAACAGGACAAGCTGAAGTACCTCCAATGCGTTTTATTTTTTTTTTTTAGGTGTAAGAGGCCATTACCAAAAAAATGTACTCTGATAACTTATCAATTAATATGTGTAATAGTATTCTAATAAGAACTCATTTAATATGCTTTATTTTTACATATTTACATGCAGACCAAAAAATACTTCATGTGCTTTTGGTACATTCTAAACTGCTTTAATGCTCCTGGCGATTTCTTGGTATTTTTCAAAACATCTGTTACAAAATACATTTCCCAGGGACACAGTAAAACCAGCTTTTGCATAATTTGCATGTTCCATTAAAAGGTTTGTGCCTACCAAGTCAATATCATTTGAATACTATTTTTGCAAGTCTTTGTGGTTCCCCACTGTCTGTATATTTGAATGTGGCTTGAGAACTGACAAATGTAGATCTGTGTTTCGCTATTTGGTAATAAATTAGTGGCTTTACATTATTTGCCTGCATGACAAACAAAAAATACATGGTATTAAAATGGTTTCTGGTTACTATTTAAATACCCATCCTTGTAATCTATATGGACATCCAATATAATTCTACTGTAGATGTTCAAGAAAAACTCAATTTTAACAGGGCTGGACGCTCATTTCTTTAGCCACTTGAGACCTCAAGGCCTTTTCAAAATGTTACAGGGAGAGCAGCTTTGTTCTAGGACTGTTTTAAAATCACACCTGGTCTCCGAAGCGTCTGGTAGCACTAGAACTGCCAACATCCAGCACTAAGCCCAGGAGCTTACAGGATGTCTCCAACTCACAACCTCAATGCAGTTTAACTGGGCAACTATGTAGCAAATGAGGTTTACACCCCAGTCACACTGGATGCGAATTGGCATGCGATTTGCATTGCATGCAAATCGCATGCCAAGTTGCACCCTATTGTCCGCAATTACAGCAGTCATATCGGTGTGGTTGCAACTTAGTCGGATCCGGACCGATTTCTAAGTAGTACATGCACTACTTTTGGTGCAATTTGCATAGACATCTGTGTCAAACACCGGGAGGCCGCACATTTGCGTGCGGCCAGCGCCAGAGCCTGCTGTTAGCTGAATATAGGCCACAGGAATGCATACCTAAACACACTCCTGTGAACTATAGGAGAAAACTGGCCAAAAGAGCTTTGGCTCTACTTCTCCTTTAAGGCTTCATGCACATTGGACACTTTGGCCATCTCTCCTAGATGCATTGCCTCCTGACAGCAGTGCTCTGGCAGACAAGGCTTGATGTTTGTAATGCATTTAGGGGCATAGGGGCGTGTATTCATTTTACTGGTCATAATTTATTATGGACAATGAAATGAATGCTCAAGCACTAAACACGTCAAGCGTTTTTTTCTGCCAAAACACTGATGCACCTGGAAACAGTAGCAGTGTTTTATTTTGTGTGCAAGATCACATAGTTTAGGAGGCAGAAAAGATGCACGTTCAGAGCAGTGTTCAAAATGTCTAGGATGCATGAGGCCTCACAGTCCATAAAACTATTTTCTTTTTTTTTTTTCACATATGGCTATTCTGATGCAGACAGAAGGTCTGATATCTCTGCAGTGATGATCCTGAACTGCTAGTTAACATTAGAAAGTGTCAATTGTAAACAAATGAATACTGCTGCATTTCTAGTAATGTATGGCTGGGAAAAAAAAAAAAAAGTCCCAGGAGACAGGAAGCCAGTGCATTTAAAACTACATAATAGCACCTGGATCTTTTCTGTGGTTAAGCACAAAATCTGCTGGCTATCCTAACATGCGGGATCGTATGAATTATTTGCAGTTTTGTCAACCATGAACTTTTCTTGCATAACAGTCAAAACAAACATTGGCAGCCATGGCTTTCAGTGCTGAAGACACCAGATATGCCATAAAAATAGGCAAATCTGAACAGAGTGTTTAGTACTGTTCACTTTGTTTAGGGCTGTACAGTATTGGAACTAAACCAGCAGGAAATTTGAGAAGTTGCAGATTAAATTTAGGATGGCAGGAGTGTTACAATGTGTCAGGCAAAGGCAGAAAGGAGAAAAAAAAAAAAAGTGTGTAACCATTACATTTGAGTATTGCTTTTCATTTTTCCCAATTGTCAGAAGTCCTTTCATTTAACTCACTGTAACCTAACATTTTTGAGAACACTATGTTTTAAAGATTGGCATTGAATAGGTTACAGTGTCAAGGGATTATGTTATTCAGTGTTTAATCTGAACTGACACAAAACTATTACATTTGTGCCTGTGACATTTTTGAACATTGACCAATTAGGCTTTCTAAAACTGTTCCTCTGCTAAGGTTCTCTTCACACCTGTCCAATGTGACAGCAGGCATGTTAAGGTCAACTATTTTAAAAATGTGCTGCCAACGCACCCAGGAGGCTATTTTTTTTTTATTTTAACGAAAATGGTTGCCCCATGTGTTGTGGTGCACTAAAACATACATGTATTGGTGCACAAAGTTGCATTACGGTGACACTCAGAACACCACAAAGTGGATGGTACATGATGGCATGCTGTTTAACCATGCATTACCATAACATAAGTGCGTTTCAAACCTAACAAAATAGTATTGCTCAAAAGGCTCTATTTTTCACACACAGGTTGAGTGCATATTTATATAATTTCTGTTTGATTAACAGGGTGAGCTTAAGTCATATTAAACTTTTTTTTATGCCAAGCTGTTGATGGCGGCACTTATTTTAAGTTTTTTTTTTCTAAAGCTTTTGCATTTGTCTTCTCATTTTACCATGTCCCCCATTCCTGGCCTTGAATTCTATTTTAAGGGTGGCTTCCTAGCTTGTAGGGTCCTATGAAGCATGTGCTGGGGCCACCCTTTCATACACAATCACAGTATACCTGACACCACTGCCTGCACTGGACATGTGTGGCCAGCCCAGGGGAACTGAAATTACATGATAGTGTTGACATGCAGGTGTTAGGAACGAAGGAACTTGTAATCCCAATGGGGGGTAGTGGGAAGACTACATTTGGAGTGCACACTTCCCAAAAGAAAGCTCAGAGAAGCTGAATGGAGGAGCTGGAGGCTATGCCATTTACTACATTTAGTGGAAATTTTGCAAACAATTGGCAAGCGATTAATAGGACAAAAGGGATTTCTCTAACAGATTATGCTTTAGTAACACTTTAAAAACTCTTTATGAAGGGGAAAAAAGCCTGCAAATAGAAAGCAAAAATCCAACCATTGTTGAATATGACATGTTGCATAGTAAGGTTGAAGACACCAGTCCATCCAGTTCAACATGTGTTTAAATCTATATCATTTCACATATCCTTGTATATTGTATTCACGAAGATGCCCATCTAGGAGTTGTTGGAAGCTATTTATACTCCCCGCAGACACCACTGCTTGTGGAAGAAAGTTCCACATCCTTACTGCTCCAACAGTAAAGAATCCGCTGCACAGTTTAAGATTAAACCACTTCTCCTCAAGTTTCATGAAGTGGCCACGTGTCTTCTTAAGCTCCCTGAAGCTAAATAGTTTTCTTCCTACGTTGGGATCACCACTGAGATATTTGTAAATCGTTCTCACGCATCTACTCTATAGAGATAATAAGTTGTTTGTAGTCGCTCCTTATAACTGAGGTCCTGGAACCCCCTTATTAGATTTGTTGCCCTTCTCTGGACTCTCTGGTTCCAGCACATTCTTCCTAAGGACTGGCGAACAGAACTGGACAGCAAACTCCAGATGTGGGGGCAAACCAGAGTTTTGTAAAGTGGTAGAATTATAGTTTTACCTCTGGTGTAAATCCCTTTTATGCATGTTAATATTCTGCTGGCTTCGTTTGCTGCAGATTGGTATTGCATTAAACCTTGATACTCCATTTTGTTCCCAGATTCTAAAAGTCAGTACTTGGAAATCAAGGTGCAGTTGCATGTAAAGCATCAATGGCAAAATTTGAGAGAATTACACACTTGGAGAGGTTAGGATTTAAATACAGGTCAGCTCAAATCAATATTTTGAAGCCTGGATTTGTCCAAATTGTTTGATATACCACTTCCATTGCTGCACATACACCAAAATTGTAGGTATACAAGTTGCAGCTGGAAATATAAAAATACACTGGCGGAATCTACCACAAAAGATTTTGAAAAACAGCAAGGAGCACTTTGATTTATAAAAAAAAAAAAAAAAAAAGAAAGCTATTTTTAATGTTCACACCCCCTGCAATTTCACTACCCCACTTTGTTTGGAGAAGTATTTCTCACATTGTCAAAATATCTTCTTGGACAGAAGATTTAACTTTGTGTTCATCTTACCTGGCTTTCATCAACCAAAAGAAAACCATAAGATTCAGCAAGCTCTTTATCTAGACGACCATCAAATTTCAATTGTCTTCTTTTTTCAGTAAACTATAGGGGGGAGGATATAAATTGGGGACAGGGAAAAAAAAAATAAGTCAATTTAGATAGAACAGTGATGAAATGTTCATGTTTTACTTTCATAGCCCTAAAACTAAATCACAAGGTTACAGCAAAAGTCTTGCCATTCATATCTTTCCATAAAACTTGACTAGACAATAGTTTTTGCTATTGACAGCACATGTACAAATTAAGCACGGTATTACAGCCGTCAAAAATCTTTGAAAAAAAGCAAATTGCCACAAATATTAACCGATTCAAGCATTCAGTCCCCCAAACCTACAATCCAAACTTGATCAATCTAAAAGATGATCAATTTATTGTTCACACTGACCTCTTTCTCCAAGAATTCATTGTGAACCAGTTGGGCAGATTTGTAAGTGAAATGTATTTTAGAATTTGCTTCCAAGAATGAGGCATGTAGAATTTTCAAAAGCTCCTCAAATTCCCGCGAGTCAGAACTAAGTGGTTGAAGAGCTAAAATGTGAACAAAAACAAAAAAGTGTTACTTTTTATTTTAGGAATAGTTTTAAATTCATACGCGCTGATTTATTTCAGATCCACACAAGAAAAAAACAAAACCAAAAGTGTAAGATTTTATTTTTTATATTTATTTTGGTTGAATTTATTTACAAAGTATACAACTTGCAGAACAAATATATGAACTCAAGAGACAACTTTACCAAAACCATGACAAAATAATTTTATTGCCAATACATAGTACCTTTCCCCTATACCAACATGTACTTCATTAAAACGGGCTGCACAAGGGATGGACTCCACCTTCCAGGAGACATAAAACTGGAGCATAACAGGACTGCCTTTTAACCTGGCAATGTGTTTCCTGTCCTGGTGTGAGGAGTTTCTCATTTACTGTCCTGGAAGACAACTGGGGAAAATGCTGCTCTGTGGTTTACATTAAGGTTGCAGAAAATATGATGAAAATATATAATATATATACAATCACACACATACACAAAGACCCAATCTGCCAGTATGGACAGCAACATTGCTCCATTCTTTGAACAAATGATGCAAAAGAATTCTCATCCGAGGGCTCAAAATAGAACACATCCACAAGCTTATGGCCAGAAAACGCACAGGAAAAATCAGTTATTCTTCAAGAGCTGTCAACTGTTCGCCTGCCAGTTTTTGATCAAAATAAGTCTGAAGTTTCTCATGTGCGCAGGTCATGCAATAACTAATAGTAGCTGGTCACATTCAACTTGACGTTTCCTGCTAAACGTTCTTAAATTTAGTCTTACAAACACTTACAAGCATGGTTTAAATCACCTTAAGTTTTCATTTCTGGTATTTACATAGTAGCTGTGGGGTATATCTCACCATCCCCCTGCATGCATGAAATCAATGCGGGTTTCTTCCAGAATCCAAAGACTTCAACCAGTGTAAATGAATAGGGTATGGGCATTGGATTTTGAGCTCTTTCAGAAGACAGTGATGCAAATGGTACTAGGTAAAGTGCTCTATATACCGGCACTATAAATATGTTCAGTGACTGGTTGATTCTTTATGACAGCCACAGCTGTTAAGTTTCATATATCAAGTAGTTCTGAGCCACACTGTCATTTTGCATTGAGGACCTGACCACTAAAACTTAAAGACAGCTTTGCATTAGACACAAACCAACATAAGCAAATTGAGTAAATGTTTCAATAATTTTGGTAATCAAAAGGTTCCAATAGAAAATGTAAACGTATATTAATATGTTACAGCTGTGATTTGTATTTCAGCTGCTAAATAACCTATTGATAAAGCCTTGGGTTAATGATACGCCACAGCCATGAGGTGCCATATTTAGTGCTTACTGAATGTGTGTTTTTGCCCAAGTTGCTTAAATCTGCTGCTTTTGAAGCAAGCATTCAAAGAAAGCAGGCAAGGTTTCATCTTTTGTTCTAAAACTTTCATGTGTTATGAATCACAAAGAATGTACCCAACAAAGATCCTTTATGTTAACCAGTCTGGGCCATCAATCCATCAAGCCTACAGTCTCAATCCTCCTCCATTCATCAGTCTATCAAGCCTTCGAAGATCGATTTCAAGCGCCATTAATTCTGGGAAAAGAACAATTTCAATATATTCTATATACACTGTTCTAGAACAGTAAATTTCTAGATATGGAATGTCAGTTCTCCAGAGACACCTGAAGATGCTAAACTGTGTGCTTAAAACACACTTATAAGCTGAAAATGCCATTGTGTGATACCAATGGCTGTTAACTTGACTTTATCCACTGATGCTCCGCAACACTAAAACAGTCAAGTCTAGGAATAGCCTTCAAAATATTTGGAATAAAACTAATCTATACGTAAGATTGAAAGCATTGTTTCTTTGGAGTAAATATCCAAAATGAACTGCAATATTTGCTTTCCTTAAAATCTGTAGAAAAGGCAGCTGAATATACATTCCCATGATGCCTCTAATTTCCCTAAAGAATCTTGGAGCGCATATCATATTTCACCATTAAGCTTGGGTTTCTTTTATTTACTGCTAATTTTACGAATCTCACCAGTCTAATAAACAGTGAGATTTGTAATTAAAATCTTAATACTGTGGGGACGTAAGCATTTGTGCTTAATGACATGTTCCCAAAAGGCCAACAGTAGTATACTAATACACGTGAATGGCTCCATCAACCTATTACGGAAACCCCAACAGCACTCAACCTGGAACACTTCAAAGTTTAAATACTAATAGCGCAACTTGTTTCTCTGATTGCTTACCATAAACAGCTCAAGTTTCAAATGATTCTACTGAAATTCAAACCATGGGTGGCCCCAACGGCGCCACCCGACTCAACATTGTCAACTGAAAAAATGGCAAAGGTGCTGGGTAAACAATGGCTGCCTGAACAATGATGGCAGCCAGATGCAGTCACTGACTGGCAGTGCCAATGTACTCATGCTACTATCCAAACAGCCAATAGGGTAGATTCTGCTGTTAAAGCTCTTTAATGGAATCAATTGACCTCATTCAGCCTAGGGGGCCAAACGGGTTTCCCAAGCACGTATGGCTAGTCTAAATGACCTACAAGTAGAGTGCTACCAAATTACTATTGCAGATTGTCAACTAGGTGATTTCTCGCATAGCAACCCATGATTAACCACTAGAGATTGCTCAACATAACAGCTATTAAACAAATTGTGGAAGTATTCAATACAATATATTACACGCCAATATTTTAATTTGCAGTAATCACTAACTTGGGGGGAGCGTTGGTTAAATCAGGTGATGACTGCTACTGCAGAAATCACCCCTGTGCACCCAGCCTAACACCAAATCACGACAGCTAGTTTATGGAAGTATTGTGCAGTGCTGAGAACCTTAGTGCCGGTTCACATATATGCAGATTGGATGCGGTATGAACCGCATTATGTAAAATAACATTGCTTTCTATGGTTGCCTGCTTACATGTCTGGTACACTGGCAGTGCAGACTAAAGGAGTCATGTCCAATTAACAGTGTGTTCCAGTTCAGGTGCGGATACAGGCTATTAACTTCTATGGGAGCCGTTTCCCATTCACACCAGTTGTGAACAGGATAAAAGCTTGACCTAAACCTAATCCTGTCCTGAACCTGATGTAAACCTGAACTACTGTATCAATTAGCTGTGAAACCTGAGATTCAATCTGTACATGGGTGAATCAGCACTAAATCAGGTGCACTACTTTCAGGATCAGTGTTGGAAGACAGCATTATCACTGATCTATATATTAGGGACAAAAGTTCAAGGCAAGCTCCAACATCAAAATGAAAGTGGAAAAGGAAAATATACACTAGGGTGTCCGTTTATGACACAGAGAATAGCTGCAATTCAACAGATCTCAGCTATTCTCTGGTCATTCACAGTTTATGACACTCAGGAGATCATGTCAGCCCTTCTCTGGAGATCTGTGTTCTCCCTCCAGATTCTCCAGCCCAGAGCTGGAGAATCGGAGGGACCGCAAACTAAGCAGAGATAATTTACCTCTGCTTAGTAAACTGATCTTTTACTGTAATCTCGCGAGATTATAGTAAAATCAGCCGTTTTTCAGTTTGTAGACCGTTCTCCCTTCGTTCGGAGAACTGCTTCATAAACTGCACTCACAGAACTGTGTTCTTCGAGCATGCCGGAGAACTGAGCAGCGATCTATTACCGCTGGTTCATAAAGGGACACCTAGGTTTCTTCTGCATTAAAGTTCTTTACCTGCCTGTATGCTGGGTACAGCTTCTGCCATGCCAAGATGCATGCACTCCTGTGCATAAACAGGAGTGACATTTTAGCCTGGCCAATGAAATGGCTTAAGCTGCCAGGCTGAAGATAGCAGCTGCCAGTGAGCTCCAGAAGACAGCATTACTGGAGTTGGTGAGTATGGTTCTGCTTTAACACTGGATTGTCAGTATTTGTATAAAAAAATGTTTACACTCTCAAAAGTACAAAAAAAATTGCTGTCAGCTGAAACCACAAGTTTCAGCTAGCACTAAATACATAGCACAAGCCTGAAATTCTCGTTCTATTTCCATTATGCAGTTTGCACAAGCTTCAAAAGTAAGCATTTCACAAGCATTTTTTTTTTAAACCCGAGTGCCTGTCAAATCTGGATTGCAACAGATAGTGTTCACATGGTCTCATTTATGTTGCTCCAAAATTGACCTGTGTCATTTGTCCAGCATTACTACTCCCCACTTTCATTGACATCAAAGTGCTCTGCAAATCCCCCTTTGCTTATGATGCATCTAGAAAACTAGCCAAGATGATCATACAAAAAATGTTTACGACGCAAACAGCACCCTACATGAAAAGTGCGTTAACAGGCATTCAAAGTGCGTATTAATGAGCCCTTAGTGAAACTTGTTTCTACAGCACTAAGAAAATCTACAAATGATAAGGCTGACAGGTGTGGAGAAAGCTATTCCACTACCTTATCCAGTCCCACCAACACTGCTGCCCTGCTGTATTCAGCACGTGGCAAATGGTGCAGCTTCACCTAGCAAGTCGGCAGGTAAGTAAATAACACACGTGACAAGCGGGCAGCGCAGGGGCAGAGCCAGCACGTTAACCACGTGTTTCTCCAGACGCTCCGCCCACACCAGCTCGCTGGGAATCGAAGAGGTGACGTCACCGGACGCAACTAACGGGAAAAAACCAACACACGCGCACCCCGAGCGATGTAACAGGACACCATGCTCTCGGGCGGGCGCCCCCTAACGGTCTACACAACTATTACACCGCGAGTGTAGCGGGCGGCATGCACGGGAAGACCTCGCCCTTATAGAACGGAAGAGGGGCACCACCTTTCTTGGTTTTCCTCGGAATCTGAAAGCGTTTCCTGGGGGGCTCTTCTGGGGGCGTGGCCCCCTTCCCTCCCTCC